ACTACCTGAAACAGTTACAGGCCGAGATGCAACAAACAGTACATTTATTTCATAACAATAGCCTAAAGACTGTTACACCAATTAAATAGTTAATGACTAGATGTCTAAATTTCAAGTAAATTTCACTCTACCCTGCAGAGCCTTCTAAATTATGAATTAATATGAACCTGTTGTTAAGATTTTGTTAGATTTGCATTTGAAAAAGTCTCCATGATAATGATTAAGTCAAACAGTTAAACATGATACTGCCATAGTTTACAAATTATTGCTACAAATATTTAGATCCCTTATAATTCAGGAAACTAGGGATGCTTTCTTTAACATTTTGAAACACTAATTTTTTAACTTGATAATTTGTAAGGAAGGGAGTAAATATGTTGAGATTTGGTTTAAGACAATGCTGTATTAGACAAACATATTAAAGATTATATTGACAACTTTTGCTTTATACTTGTGTAATAAATGACAAACTGCAATATGTACTCATACAAAAATTATATTATACAAATTTATTAATAAAAATTCTTCACAGACATTTTTTTTGGTAAAAAAAAAGACCAAAATTTGACAGAAAAGAAAAACCAAAACAACCAGGCCAAGGTAATTGGAAAATTCAAAGTAAACTTTACTACCCAATGAGACATTAATAGAGAAGGGAAAAAGGTTTCTACTGTAGATACAAAACTGTATATCTCTTTGCTATAGTAACCAATGATGCTGGAGTCATATTTTCAAGTATTTTGTAGAAATGTAAATCGAAAGGACAACCTATGACTTCAAAAACAACTTTAAGAACAAAGTATGCTGTTAAGTTTGTTTGATGTTGTTTTTTGTTTTGTTTATAATCTAGCAAAGCTGTTAACAGACACATCTCTATATCTACAAACATACTAACACATATTTGGACCATTAAATAGGATGGGACCCCCCCCCCCCCCCCCCAAAAAAAAACAAACAAAAAAAAACCCAAAAAACCTAATGAAAGGAATGTTAAACACTTTGATGAACAGGGAAAAAATCAAAACTGAAAAAATTGACTTAATTATATAAAATTAATAGCACATATTAAAATGAGATTCATATTTCTTGTATGTAATGCCAATGCGTGTTCTTATATAAAATAAAAACTTAACAAACAAAATGAATTGGAACATGAACACTTAAGTCTATATGATGGTGATAGATAAATGACATACAATAAAATAAATTGTTGGCTGTTAAGATAAATATTTCATATTTGCAGAAGAATTATCACATCGTAAAAACAATACAAGTAGCACTTTTATATCAAAACATTCTAGCACTTATATGTCAAAACAAAACACTCTAGCACTTATATTAACAACCTCAAAAAAATCCACAAGTCAAAATGCAGAAAATTTTCACAGTTTAGAGTATATACAACGGTTGTCCCAAAAGACTGTGACAACTCCTATAGACAGTACATTTTCAACGCCAGGACATAATAACTGACATATATAACATATAAGTTTTTTTTTTCCCTTTACATCAAAAAATTTTACAAATAAAAATTTCAAAAAATTTAAAAATTCTCAATTTTTAAAACTTAATTTCCAAAAATTTTCCTGGGGGAAATTAAAATATGGCATTTTAACAATCAAAAAAATTAATTTGTACCTACTTAATTAAGCTTTTTTAATTTTTTAAAGTTTTGTTTCTACTTTGGCACCATCCAGTATGGGAATCAATTTCCCTTAATAAAAAGGGAAATTAAGGTCCCTTCCGGGGGCTTTTTACTTCAGGCAAAAATGAGAAACCCCGAGATAGCCCAAAATTACCCAGACATTACGGGTTTGTTATGGTTTTTCGGTAAAACCCCAAACGTTTATATTTTATTGCTTAAAAACCGAAATAGAAATAAAAAAAATTTCAAAAAATGTGCTTTTGTCTTACCTTTCAAGTTTTATTAAAAAGTTTATCAAGTTTTCTTTTAATATCGTGCTCAATCATAAACAAAAACTCTCAAACAATGTACTTATCGATTTAAAATAAAATATAAACATCAATTCAATAAATATTTTTTTCTCCCATTCTTCAAACATTTTTTTTAAATTTTTTTTTTTAAATGGACAAAATAAATTCCCCCCGAGAAACCCAAATTTTTGAAAATTTGAACAATTTTGGTAGAGGAAAAAATAATTTTATATATAAAATTTATCAAAAGCTCTTGCCCTTTGAACGTTCTGCCCAAAAATAAAATTTTTTTTTAAATATATGTACAAAATAAAAATTTTAATGCCCCCCGGGGCTAAACCCAAATTTTGACAAATAATTTGAAAAATTTGTTTAGGGGGTTCCACACAATGTTTCATGCCAAATTGCTTAACTTCTATCCCTTTGTAAATTTTAAGAGAAGATGATTTTTTTAAGTTTTAACCTCTATATACCCATATAAAGAAAACCTATGGCCCCAGGGGCGGGGCAATTTTGACACAAGAGGCCAAAATTTGAACAACTTTGGTAACGAGTAACCTTTAGATGATATTATTTAACAATATTAAAGGCATAATAAGCCTTGTCACCTTCAGAACAATTAGATTTTTTTATTTTTTAAACTATATGTACGAGGGGTTATCCAAAACTTCGTGGACTTTCTTTGTTGCGTAAATTATTTAGATATTAAATTTGAATTCTTACAACTGCTTAGAAGAAATTTTATAACACACTAAAGCACAGAAAAATTCCATGTGTGAATAGCTTCTTACATTACAATCAATATTTTATTTTACATAAACACAATGTCGGCGAACAAGCGGCGGCACGTCCAAAAAATTATTGACGGTCAACGTCATAAATATTAAGTACAATTTGTGCTTCAACGTTACGCAGTCAATGAACTGTTCTGCTTCTCAAAAAAATGTCCCATTACTAATTTTTTTATGGCCACTTTAACACTAATTGGGAATCGTTAAAAGGAAATATTCTTTTTCTCTTGTTCGTTGGCTGAATTTTTATCAAAATGTTTTTCTCTGTTAGGTGTCATTTTCAAAAATTGCAATAAAAATTTATGATTGTTTAATGATCAAGCGATTTTCTATTAAATCGCGTGTCCGTTCATTTTTCCCGTTGTAAACAATAAAGGCGTGTTCTGGCGTTTCTAAACCGATAATCAAAACAAAAATAAAGGTAAAAATTAGCACGTCCATAATTTTAAAGAAATTACTTAAAATGGCCATTCATAGAAGAAACATGCGATGTTCAGCGGGTTTTTTCTAAAACGTTATTTTTTATTAGTTATTTTAGCAAGAAGTATGCGATGACTTACAGCGGCGCTTTTCTAACCGTGCGCCGGGGTGAACGTGTATGTGCTTATTTAAAAAGCAATATAAATCATTATTTATTGACACAATTAACTGTTCGTTTCAAAATGTGTTGATAAATATTCTACAATGTATGCTGATAAATTTTTCATTACAATACACGTTGACGTTCAAGAGATTTTAAAAAAGTCCACGAATTTTTTGGATAACCCCTCGTATATATTGAAATCCAATGACCCCCAGGGCGGGGGCAATTTTGAACCGCCAGGGCTATAATTTGAACACTCTTGCTATAGGTTTACAACACAATGTTTTCATGGCAAGATATCTAACCTCTAGCATTTGTCAATTGCTAGAAGAATTTGTTTAAGTTTTTAACTATATACAATATAAGGAAAAACCAATTGACCCCTGGGGCGGGGCCCCGATTTTCACCCCAGGCGCTATAATTTGAACAATCTGGGTAAGAGGTCTACCAGACAATGCCTTATGCAAAATATCTAAGCTCTAGACCTTTTGGGTCTTTACAAGAAAGGTGTTTTAAGTTTTTACTATATGTACATTTTAGCGAAAATCAATGACCCCCGGGGCGGGGCCGATTTTGACCCAAGGGCCTATAATTTGAACAATCTTGGTAAGGGTTTACCAGATGATGCCTTATGCAAAATATCTAAGCTCTAGGCCTTTTGGGTTATTACAAGAAGGTATTTAAGTTTTTTACTATATGTACATAGTGAAAATCAAATGACACCCGGGGGCGGGGGCCAATTTTGACCCAAGGGCTATAATTTGAACAATCTTGTTTAGAGGTCTACCAGACAATGCCTTATGCAAAATATCTAAGCTCTAGGCCTTTTGGGTCTTTACAAGAAGATTTTTTTCTAATTTATTCTTATAATTCCTTTTGGTTGCCATGGCAACCAGATTTCTGCATGGGGAATGAAATTCTTTGAACAACTTTGGAAGCCCCTTCACCCAAGGAACGATCCTGCCAAGTTTGGTTGAAATTGGACTAGTAGTTTTTCACATGAAGATTTTTTAAGTTCACTATATAATCTATATAACACACAAACACACAAACACACACACACACACAGGTGAATCGCTATATGCCACCGCATCGCAGATTGCGGTGGCATAAAAATATATTCAAACACGCGGTGCATAGGCAATTATTTCTTTCAAAAACATTTCCTTCGAAACTTTTGCCACATTTAATCGATGGCATTTGAATAAGCCAATCAGATTTCGCACACTGTGTGACGGCCGTTTGTTTATTGGCTGTATAAGGAATTTAATTAAATAAGAGGATTTAATCATGATTTTTCGGATGCGACAGTTTATTTTTAAAAAGGTATTTATTTTTTACTTTTGTTCATGAATAGGTAAAACTTTATGTACTTATACACGGTCTTCATTGTTTTCTTCGTCCTGCAAGATTTTCTTGCAGAACGTTCCTTGGGTATTTCAGCAATTTCGATATAACGTTGCTTTGCCCAGAAGAAAAATATCTCAAAGTGACCTCATATTTATAGGACAAACCCGAGTAGAACCACCAAAGTTGTGAGAAAGAAAGAACTGAAAGTCCCAGTCAGGATTTGACCCCACACCGGTGAATGTCAAGTGATTTAAAGTAAACAACATTAAAACATAAGTCATTGTTGATTCCCCTATTAAGATTTTAAACAATCTTGTCACAGAATATTGGGAGAACCTACATACTTGAAAGGTATTTATACAGATCAATATAAACACTATTTATCACAAAACATTACATTATACTACACAAAGCAGCTCATGTTTTGAGGTGCACATTTTTGTTTTGTTCCTATATTTTTTATCGTATTTACCTAACCAATACAGGTTGCATATATTTAATAAATGCTCAGCTGAATACAATCAACATATGAGCCGTGTCACGACAAAACCAACATAGTGCGTTTGCGACCAGCATGGATCCAGACCAGCCTGCGCATCCCAACAGTCTGATCAGGATACATGCTGTTTGCTTACAAACCCTGTTTCAAGTAGAGAAAATGATAGCGAACAGCATGGATTCTGATCAGACTGCTGGGATGCGCAGGCTGGCCTGGATCCGTGCTGGTTGCAAACCCATTATGTTGGTTTTGTCATGACGCGGCTCATAAATATATTGAATGTAATGCCCATATTATAGGAAGAACAATGATATAAAGCAAAATGTAAGAAATAGAAAACTTATAATATTATCAATACTAACAAAAAATCACGAATTTAATTTCACTAAAACCATATATATACAAAGGTTGGCAGTCGTGCAATTTTATTTATTAAATTTTGGCAGTTTTGTGCATTTTTCATAAAAAAGTGGAAAAAAAAAGGGTTATTATTTCAAGGTATAAAGTTATAGTTTATTTAGTAGAATGCCCATTTTTTTAACCATATATACTGATTTACATGTACACAGTTTATTCCTTATTTAGTCTTATTAAAATATAAATAACAATATACAAAACGATGTTCCTAAATGAAATACATAACAGGCAGTACAAAGTGTCCAAAGATTTTATGTTTTTGTTAAAAAAATCTTTATTCAAATAATGAATGAAAATTTGATATTGAAAAATGAGCACAAAAAGATGAAACATTTCATACTAAATAAACAACAGCGCATTTCCGACATTAATCTTTTGAAAAATTGTTTTAAGAAATACTATAACAACGTTTTTAAAACCAATGCATTTTGCATTATGAGACAATATTCCATTGGCCGTTCACATTATCTAAACTTGCTGTTTTGATAAAAAAAATTCTGCCTTGTGTAGTTTATCACACCATGGCACAATGAAAATCGTGAAAATCACAAAGATTTCAAACAATCATATGACAGATAAATCCTACCAAAAACAATATTCATAAATACTATTCACAGAACTCTAAACTTGTTCTTCATTAATCACTTTTTCCTTTTACATCCAGACAAGTGGCTGCAGCAACTTTCACACTTGTGTCACTGTTTATATTAACTTTGTCTACAAATTTACATAGTTCTTCATCGGAACAATCACTCTCACTGTACGACATGTGCGGAGATTTTCTAAATCCTCTATTCACTAAACCTTGTAATTTCCCACAAGACGCTAAAACAAACCCAAAGTATGGTGGGGAAGGTTTCATTGGACGTGAGATGTACTCTGGATGATACTGGACACCAACAAAGTATGGGTGACCTGAAAGAATAATGAAGTTGGGACCTATAAATTGTTACTGAAGTTGAATTCCAAAAAAAAAAGGATTTTTTATTTATGGTGAGTTGTTTTTGTTTTTTTGTTTTTACAGTGGACATGACCTTTTAGATGCATAATTGCATTATGCACATAATTTTGATTATCCAACACAATTGAGGTCATTTGGCGCAAAAACCAGAAAGATGATTTTGGCTAAACTCGTATATTACAAATTACAAAGCAACACAAGGGGTCAAAATCACCTCACCTGCTGCAACTAAGAAACATGATTTTGGCTTACCTTGGATGTTACAAACTTAAAGCAACACCAGGGGACAAAACCACCTTACCTGCTGGAGCTAAGAAATGCATAAACTTCTGTAATTGAAACCCATTTTGTTGCCTCTTATGATCACACAGGGATAAACGGGGGCTGCAATTCTGATCCCTCAACCCTTAAAGGCATCACTTCAGCCATAAGGAGAATAATATTTGTTTTAAATGGCAAGAAGTACATGAGAAGTGATGTACAAGCACAAACCTTTAAGCTCCATTATCTCCATCCTCTCGCCATCTTCACTTCGTCCAACAAACATCATACCTTTCTCTTCAAACTTCTCTACTAATGCTGGATTTACCTATAAATAAGTGGTTTTAAAAATATGAATGACGTAGACAATAAGAGCTGTTGGTAGGACAGTGTGCTTGCCTATTCTCAGTGCTTGATAGACAAAAGCATGAATAACATAGAATTTTCTCAGTTTAAAAAGGGCCGTAATTCTGTCAAAATTCAGTTAAGAGTTATGTGCATTGGACATTGACCATCTAGCATGCACTTAAATAAGGGTGGTCGGTTTAAACCAAGTCCTTTCAGTAGTTTTGGAGATTCTAACATGCACACAAAAGCTTAACTTAAGTGTGATAATGACACCTGAGTGAGAACAATATCGCCCACCCTCTTCTCCAAATAGTCAAGCTAAAAACAAGCAAAAATTCAGTGAACTGTTACACAACAAGATGCAAATTACTTGGTTCTTAAATACCTCAAAATTGTAAAAGAAAATGAAATCTTTTCTTTACTAACAAAACTGAGCTGTGTCAAGCAAAACTGCTCTAGAAGTAAAAGACATACTTCTGAGATATAATGACATTATGTAATGTCATTTGTTCATTAGTATAAGTATAGCTTTTTAAAAACTGGAATTTGTTAATACCTCATATCTGTGTCTATGTCTTTCTTCTACAAAATCTGTATTGCCATATAACTTCTCTGAAAAACAATAACATAACAATCTCTTACAGTTAGTGATTACTTTGAAAATTTCAAAAACATCAGAATGAAAAACAAGAGCTACACAAAGGCTTGACAATATAATTATGCCCAAATCAAAATTTGTTTGAGTAACGAAATATAATTTTCAATTAGGGAAGAAAACCATTCATGAAACTTGCCTGAAAAATGTTTTGATAAATCTTATGATCTTATGATACTAAATATTATACCTCCCATGGGTGGAGGCATTTTTGACCCTAGGTTCTTGATTCATAAAACTTTTGTAGATGTCTACTAGGTAATCTACATGCTTAATATATATGCTCTAGGCACAATAGTTTTCATCAAACAACCAAAAGTAAACAGACTTAACATGTGATGCTGTAACAATTTCATCAATTAGTTATTAATACAATTATAAGAATAACATTATTTTAAATGTGATATTGTGACAATATATTGTACATCCAAGAACATGTAATTAATTTTTTTTTTTTCTTTTACACTGCATCCAACATATGTCAAAGAATAAACATTCTAGTCTTATAATCATATCAATAAGGTTAACCAGATACTCTCCAAGCACCAACAATATCATTTGGTTCAAAAAGATGCACTTGATATGACATTCTATAATGAGATGATTATTAAGCTATCCCTTATCAGATATACTCACTCATTAAGGAAGAATCTGTCTTAAACAGTGTTTTTCTCAGACCAAGTCTCATAGTTCCTCCCATCTGTCCTGTGTTATGTTCAGGCATATCTATCACCTAAAAATACAAAATAAATTTTCAGTCTGTATCCATTTTGGTTAAGTTAAGAATACAACATGAATCCAAGCCACTGAGACAAGCAAAAGGTAGATAAGTTTAAGACATCATTAACAAACTATACCATTATACCTAGTCTAGCTCTATCATGTTTACAGTGGGAGAGTCACATTATACCAATATTGACCAACCTTTCAACTAACCACATTTTATGCTAAGCTGCACCAAGTGATGTTATAGGTTCTGTTTCATTTTTTCTTTCATCTTAACCTCAAATTGAATTCAAATTGTTCCAAGTACATGTATATGGAACATAATTTATCCTTAGACCTTAACAGAGGTTCAATGAAGTTAACTCTTATCCTACTAAATGTCCTAAATGGGCTTGTCCATCCTTGAATCTTGACAAAACCATTTATCCTATTGAGGGAAAATTTCAAAATAAAAACTGGCTAATCAGCAAACAGTGCAATCCATGATCAGATGGTAAAGATGTAACCGCTGAATATGGTCTGCACTGGTGTCATGGGTTTATTCAACAGCCAAAAGCCGACTAAAAGGTCAAGACATCATTTTACAATCCGACCAACTTGAATTCTGAAAACAATGAGTTTTTATTTCTTAACATGAAGCTTTAAATAAGCTAACATTACATGTGTACTTCTGAACAGCACACTTACCACAGGATTTTTTGTATCTGGATCATTTTCTGTTGAGTTAGCATCTTTCATTCCAAGTTCATTTCTTGCAAACTCTATCACTGCACACTGCAAACCTAAACATATACCTGAAAACACAATACAGGAAATTTCAATACATGTGCTTGCTTACAAGTTAAAAATTCTATTTATACTATAATAAATATAGACCGATTATTTATCAGTGATCAAAATATGGTCAGAGCTGGGATTGCGGATAATTTTTAACTTTTTTTGTGCCTTTGCAATGAATTCATGTAAAAAAGAAATTAAAACATTGACAAATTTGAAAACTATTTTTAATGCTCATTTAACAGCATGATGAAAGTGATAGGTAACAAAGTATTGTAAGTCATTTTACAACAATGTGATTTAAGGGATTACCTAGGAATGGTACTTTCTTTTTACGTGCCCAATTTACAGCTAATACTTTTCCTTCTGTTCCACGTACACCAAACCCACCTGGCACCAAAATACCACTGTAAACAAAACCAAACAATTATTTGTTTCAAAAGGAGATTCAATGGAGATTTATTTTCGCATATATTCACATATTCTACAATCTATCTAACACTAGATAATCCACATCATATAAAACACAAAAATATAGAAAGGATTTTTTTAAACTTTTTTTATGAAAACTCAATAATATATTATCAAAATATATGTAAGAGAAAGTACTATCAATTTGTAGTTGGTAAAATATCTTATACTCTGCACAGAAACAATTTATCTGCAGAGATTTTTTACCTTCAGTTTAACAATATTTTTATTGCTCTTTTAAATACAAACTGGTTGAGCCGCAAGTTAGAGCAACATTAGCATTAACATTTTTACCTTGTATGGTTGGTACTAATAAATGAATGCATTTGACGTCCAAATTAGCCACAAAATTTTCCAATCTTTAAAAAATATTCTTACATTATCAAATTACCAAACCATATACTGGTATAATTTACAAATAAAGACCTATCTATGTTATCACAAAGATTTGCAGTTTATAGTAATGAATGATGTAAACAAAACTTACTCAGCACTAACAAGTTGGTGCCATGCCTCGTGATATTTACATGGATCATCTGACATTGTTTCCATCTCTAAATCTGCAGCCTCAATATACTACAATATAATCATCATTTAAAATATGTATAACTATGGGAACCAACAATTTATGACAACAACAATTCAAATATATTCACATGATTCCAACATAATCAACCAAATTTCAGACAAATGTTTGGAAAGGGTTTTGACAAAGCCAAATTCTGACAAAAATTAAATAAAGACTCTCGGGTAACTCTGACAAAAGCAATACAATAACTACACAGATGGTCCAGAAAACAACAATTATCAAAGATATTTCTAACAAAAGTAATCAAAAGTCTGATAATTTTGATTAAAATATTCAACAAGAGAAATACAAAGTTCACTTATAATTCTGCACAATTTTTTTTTCTAAATGTCTCATTCATTCTGACATCTTTATGATGTAAATGATTCTTAAACAGTTAAACATAGTATTATATGCTTTATCACATACCCATGCCTATTTTGAGACTCAGTAAAATGGTATTGCATGGCCATGCATATATTTTGACATGACATCATTTGCTTTATACAAACATAGTGTAATAGCGCACTAAATGTTAGTGTTAAAAATATAGGCATGTCACTGAAAAATCATTCTTTTGCCCTTTAACCAGTCTTTATTTTGGGTATTGGATAAATAGAATGTTTTACATGTACTCATGTAGGTTCATTGCTGAATTTATTGAATTCATGGAATAAAATAATACTATGCTTGCCAGAGGTTCGCAGAATATAATTTTATTCAACTTGTTCAATAAATTCAGTATTGAACCTACACTCATTCAAAATCCTCTATTTAAGTGGAGGCATGACTAAGTGGTTAATGAATCAGACATCCAAGGATTGCTAAGCAATCAGTAGTTCCCAAGAGCAAGAAACTTTTCACTCACTGCTCAGTAATGGATGGTGGATGGTTCAAGGAACATATTCAAGAGTGTGTTCATTTGCTAGTAGTTTCCTACACAATGGAACTACGATAAATTCTGTATAAACTAACAATATGCGTAATCAACATAACATACTTTACCTTTAGATTAAGTCTATGACTGGCAGCAAGAGCTGAATGCTGTAAAGCTTTGATCACAGAGGCATATGCATCTTCTAATTTTGTATATTTACCAACTAAGACTATAGTTACCTCCCTTAGTAACCGGTCATACCTTTAATATAAAACATAGTGAGCCTTGGTTATTATCAATTTTATCATTGAAAAAAAAACAAAAACAATGACATATCCATTGAATTTATAGTAGATCTTATAAGGTTAAATGCGTGAGTAACTTCAAATTTAAACCTACATTTTGCAGACAATCTACACATATTGTACACAGTTTGCTGGAACATTTACATGCAATAAGTGATAAGTAAAAGTTGATTGAAAACAATAATGGTTCGGTAAGCATCTAAATACAGATCCCTATTAATTTTTCTTATATCAAGGAAACATGTGACTAAATACGCATGAGAAGAATTTCATAAGACACGTCGTCTTTCATTCTAATCCTGTTTTTTTTTCAGAATATTTGAATTGCTCTCTATATTGTAAATTGTAACATGTATATATATTCCGAGAAATAAGATATGTTTAAACTAAACTAAATACACATCACACTGAAAAAGGCGCTTTTAACACTTAAATTTCAAATGTAACTATTATATCCATGACAATATTATACGTTACCTATCTGCTAGTTCTTTCCAACTCGCCATAAACCGTTTAGGTCTGGACATATGTGGGTGGAGTTTAAGGCGGTCCATTATGTATTGAGACACACCTTGCTCTTCCATCAGTATAGGTACTCGATATATAGATGACAAATCATGGATACTTAATACCTAGATAAAAATCAAAGCAAATGATACAGGTTGAAAGAGCTGGATTTTTTACTTTGCCTAACCTCTGCTAAAATAGTATCTGAATTAACTTGCCTTTTATATTTGTTAAAGTTAATGAAAGGTTAAATAATTTCAAAATGTATAATTTACACTGTTAGTTTATAGAGGATATTTGTTTGTTTTGCATGAAAGATTGAAATATATTTCGCTGAGTCTTCTTCATGACATCACCATACCAATGTTGAAATTTAGTTATGTAAAATTTCTTGAATTTTGTTACATTTTTACACAATTTATGCAGTTATTTGCTTGCTTTTCCTAAAGAAGTAAAATTAACAAACAGCGGAATTTATTCCTATTTGATAATTCAATTTAGTTATGAAATATTATTTTCATCTTCATTTAAATTTAGTTCAGCTACAATGAAAGTTATCAAATATAAGTTCACTGTGAAAATTATCAAATATCATTTCACTGTGAAAATTATCAAATATAATTTCACTTCCCACTGCAAAGCATGTAATAAAGTGTTATGACTAACCTGTTGTGGTTCAACATGACAAAACAGGGAAACTTTTTCCTTTATAGCTGCATCTATAGGCTTACTACTTCTACATACAATCTGTGAATAGATTTTTCAAGAATCTTTTTTTTAAACTGTTTATGCTCATGTAGTATTTCATTACACTGTATAGACTAAGTTTACATTATACTGTATTATTAAAGATTGTGTAAGCACATCACAAAATGATTGTCATTTTTCGACTGAAATTATTTTCCTATGAAAAAAAACATTTTATTTATCTAATGTATTTTACAATATATCTATTTTCTACAAAAAACATTCTTTATCATATATGGTGTGTATTTCACAAAAGACCAATGGACTTTTTGTATAGAAAAAGTTTGTTAATAATGTAAGATTTAGTGTACATAACAAAACAAAGAAGAACACTTCATTTTTTTGTGATAAAAGAACAACCTACCAGATCAGGAGATAAACCTAGACCTCGTAATTCACGTATACTAGACTGAGTGGGCTTTGTTTTCTGTTCACCTGTTGCTTTAGGCTGAAAGGAGTGTATCAAAGTATTAATCATTTGATTATCCTGCTGATTTTCGTAAATGGACTTGTCCAGCTCCCATATTTTAAAACTGTTCATTATCTATATCAATTTTGGAGAAATGGAAAAGACAATTATTTGTAGTTGCAAAGTAGCTATCCTACAAAATAGAGCCTGTCAGAATGCACTTATGTTCTTGCTAGGCTGGCCCTTCTATCATGGCAAGACAAAACAATTTTGTTACCAGCTGGCATGATTAACACCAGTGTTGAGATTTTCTCGCTTACATGTGCATGTCAACTTTAAGCCACTTTATAAGCTTATAAAAACACAGTGGTATGTTTAGTTCATAATGTATGTACAGCAATTGACATTGTAATCTTTTCAATTATTTTCTTTTTTGCTTTATGTCACACCAACACAGTATAGGCTATATGTTTTCAATTGTTAATGTAATAAATGACAATGATGTTAATAAATCGAGCCTGAAAGTTTAATGATCTCAAAGTTTCTTAGATTTAATACAGTGATTATATTTAACTGATATAAGAAAATGCTTAAGCCTGAATAAGTTTAAACAAATTTATTTCAGCTTGATTGCCAAACAAATTTTTGCAACTTCTTCTATATATCACTTTCGAGTCTGCTTCCTGGAACTAACCAGTACTGGTCACATCTGGTGTTGTATGAGGAATCATGATTGTTACCCGAGTAGGGCTCGAACCCACAATCCCTGGGTTGAGAGGTAGACACCTTAACTTTTAGGCCACCGCTCCCCTTAATACAACAGTCTAAATTTTATTCTAATAATTTAGTAATTACCTGTGGTACAAGACTAACATGTACACAGCAGAAATTATCTCTCTTCACTCGGAACTGAAACTGTCTAAATGCTTCAACAAAAGGCATCCCTTCAATATCTCCAATAGTTCCACCTAACTGTGAACATATATATACATTAGATTCAGTTATCATCAAAAAATCTGCCTAACTGTAACATTATACCTACAATAGATATCTCTTGTAGTTACACCTAACTATGAATATACATATGCATTACATTCAAATATAAAAAATCTGCCTATTAAACTGTGAACAAATATTTATTTGATTTAATATCATCTGCCAAACTGTAATCTTATAACTATTTTATAATCAATTCTTTCTATGACAGTTGCACCTAACGGTGAATAAATACTTTTAATATTATTTGCCTAACTGTGGCCTTATACTTACATTAGATTTAAAACCGTCTAGTTTTTTGTTCCATTGAACTGGAGAACATTTAACGGCATCTTTAATTCATTGCCTAATTTTTCTCAAATAACTTATTGACTTGTTATCGTTTAAATTCAGCATAGTCAACATATCATTTCAAGGATTTCATTATCAAACAGGTAGTTAAAATGTCATGCCAAAGAACTACCTTTGCTTTACACTTGATGGCAATGACTGCCTTAAAAACTGATATTTTTAACTTAATTGTTTATGAAGCTTATAACTAATCTGAACCTCTCTCGAGTTCATTTTCCTAGAACTAAACAGTACTAGAGAGACTGTCATAAGAGGAAACATGGTTGTAACCAATAAGGTTTTCATAAGTTAACACTCACTGTTGTATGCAATAAAACCAAAAAAACAACAATGGACCAACTCAATGAAAACCCAGGACCACAGTAGGGTTTGAGCCCATGATCCCTGGGTCCAGAGGCAGACACCTATATTACTATGCCAATGCTTTACTGTTTTTTAAAATTGCCTGACCTTAAAGAGCAACCTAATGTTTTTCAGACTTACAATTTGTTAAAACATGTGGCATTTTAAATATCAATTAAATATCAGCAGTTGTCACTTCTATTTCAAATAATTTTTATATCTGTGGCAAAGCCGCAAAACTATCTTTTTTCTTGAGAGAATGATGAATCTTGGCCTTTACACATTTATTAATGATAAAATAATAAGTAAAGTAGGTGAGGAACACACGTACAACACCAGGTCAAGTTTTAAAAGTTTTTATTGGCTACTAGTTTCGAGTAATACAATACTCTTCATCAGGCTTAAAAAATATCAAATTCTAACTACTGAAGTACTAATATTTAGGGATACTTTTTTGTGTTTTGTTACTATAAATAGAAGTATTGTTACTAATAATAGATCTAGTTTTGGCACTGTTCCAACAAGCTTATCATTAAGTATAACATGTATATTGTTAGAATAAAAAGAATCACAAGTTAATTATGCTTTGTTTAATACCCCATAAATCTGTCCAATGTTTATTATGAGTTCATTTGTTTCACTGAACATACCATACTCGTCTTGGCAAACAGTTTCTGTACTCGATGATGGGGAGGGTTCCTCAAAATTTGCAGTTGGTGTTGTTGGTCTGCTGTGCTTTGGAGTAGGTGGTAACGGCGAGATTGGTGTAGGAATCAAGATGTGTGTTGGTGGTAGTTCTACATTTGATTTGGATGGTCTCTTTTTGTTGAATTTTAAGGCTGGTGTCCCTGTCTTGCCCATAACAATTCTAAATTTTGGAGTTTTCATAAGAGTTTTTGTGGTAGTTTGGTTGTTGATAGCTGGAAAGGTGATTTTGGCTTTAGGTTTTTCGTCTGGTACATCTACTGTGTTGAAAATTTTCTCTGGAAATCCATGCTGTTTGATGCTATGTTTCCTTAGGTATGATTTTTGTTTGAAAGTTTTTGAGCACCATGAACACTCAAATCTTGTTGTATTGTTTTCATGTGTCTTTATGTGTTTGTATCGTTGTTGTTTTGTTGTGCCTACATAGCCACATGTATCACACAGGTAGTGGTATTCTTTCTTATAGAGAAGTTTGGTTGCATAGAAAATTTCTTGTTCCAAATCTATTGGTTCAGGTTGAGACCCTGTGGAGTAAGCGTTTTCAATCTTCGTATCCATACTTCCTCTAGTCTAAGACGTTTGTTTATGTTACGTTCACTTCCTTGGATGATGATGACGTTAACGTCGTTTATCGTATGTCCCGCGCTATTGAAATGGCGGGAAATTGGTTTTGTAGTATTTCTAGTTCTGACGTCGGCCATATGTCCGTAGAATCGATCACGTAATGTGTTTCCTGTTTGTCCAACGTACTGTAGGCTACATTGTTTGCAAGTAATGAGATAAATAATACTAACAGTTGTGCAATTCAAATGGCTGTTTATGGAGTATTTTGCCTTTGTTACTGTACTAATGAATTCTGTCGAGTTTGTCATGTATTTACAAACAAAGCATTTCTTACCACATGCGTAACTGCCCTTTTGTAGCAACTGCTGGTTAAGGTCGGACCTAACCAGCATGTCTCTGACGGATTGAGCTCTACGTGTAACGGATAGAATCTTCGTAAATTTTATGAAGTTGGTGGAAGTGCTGCCTGAGATAATGTGGAGGTTTCTATTAAAGATTCTTTGAGCATTAGGAGTAAATGGATTATAGGAGTATGTGAACGGAATATTCTGGGCTTTGTTTTTCGTGTCCCTTTCTGTAGACAAAATTTGTAGTCTGTCCAATTTTTCGGCTTTCTTGATGGCTTTTTGTACTAAATCCTTAGGGTATCCTCTGGCTGTGAGATTTTGTAAAAGATATTCTGCGCATTTAAGGTATGCTATCGTATCGCTACAAATCCGTCGTAATCTTACCGCTTGGCTGTATGGGATACTGTTTTTTTGGTGTGTAGGGTGGTAACTAGTATAATGTAGGTACATATGTGCATCTGTAGGTTTGGTATAGACCGTAGTGTGAAGAATACCTGTGTTGTCCTTAGTAATTTTAGTGTCTAAGAAATTAGCTTCCATGGGATCTATATCGTAAGTAAACTTAATTGACTCGTGAAATTGGTTTAAACAGGCCATGAAGGAATTTAATTCCTGTCTGCTGTGCGGCCAAATCATAAATATGTCATCTATGTATCTCCATTTATTAATGATGTGAAAGATGGATGCAGGAATATATGATAATGTTATATATACCTCTATAATACAGACATCGGGTGTTTTATTGTCGCCATCCACAGGAATTTTTGCTACACGTTCAACCCACTCTTGTATAGCATCTGTGATGTGTGGAACAACTGTATAATAACAATAAACACTTTTAACTATCATGAAAATACTTTGACTCTTACCATGCTAAATTTCTTACATGGACTTGTCCATTTTTCAATCTGACCATAACCATTCATCCTTTTCAGGGTAAATTTCAAAATATATACCAATGAATTGAAAAGCAAACAGTGCAGATCATGATAAAGAGGCACGAAATTGCAGGCTGAACTCGGTTTGCACTGGTTATATTTATAGATTGTTGCAACCAGATTGGTAAGCGTTAAGTAATAAGGACTAAGAACATAACAGTAACCCCAGGCAGTACAAACTGACAATTTTTTTAATCCTAGAGGAGTCAAATTGTCAAATGATTTTAATTTCAAAGAAAATAAGCAGAATGAAAAATCCAATGCATACAGTCAATTTTCTGTAAAGTTAACAGTTAAACAATTTATTTTTATAACAATTTTAATTCAACCACATTACCTTGTACAGTTTTACCAAGGTAGTCTCCCCTTCTCTCTTTATTGATTACATGCTGGTATATTTTCCCTGTGGTTATGTTGTTGTCACGGTGAAGTGTGATGTCTAAGAATCGCTCATAGTTACCAAGGTCAAGATCAACTTCCCCACCATCATTCAGTACAAACACTTCACCTGAAATTGTCATAAATACTCATTTTCCTTTGTTTTTAATGCATACTTAGTGTTTATTGTAAACATCATTGTGTTTAATAACAATTTAAAAGGCAAATTATTGCTTTAATAAAGATAACTGAAATTCCTACATTGAGTAAAGGCCTAAATATAACAGTTTGAAAGGATGAAAGGCTTAATTTCAATGCAAAAAAAGTTTTTTTTTAATTAAATATTTCCTTATGAAAAGAACTATCCCATGAGATAATGTTCATATGAAATTTCTAAATGTAATTGCTATAAATTTAATTGTTGATCAAATCTTTTAAAATGGTTTTCAATTCTAAATCTATAGTTTTGTTATAAATACTTTTAAGAAAATGTCAGATCATTTTCATACTCATTAATAACAATTCTTCTTCAAGTTCATCACACAATTAAAGAGACAATTCATGTCGTCAGGAAGATTTAGTATTTCTTCTCGCTAGAAATTTCTGATTTATTGTACAGGGTTTTCATTTTTGTCTAAGGCAACAATGTGTCAATGAAAAGTTAAACAACTAATTTTGCCAAGAGTCAAGGGGAATATTTTAACTTACAAGCTGAAAATACATTTAATTTTAACAGCATTTCAACCAATGATATGGACTGCCAATCTTATAATAAAAACCCTGATTGTTGTGTTCTTACCATGTTCATAAGGAGAAAAGGTTCCAGCATCAATGTTGATATAAGGATCTATCTTGATGGAAGTAACCCTAACACCAGAGGATTTCAAAATGGTACCAAGACTACTGGCAATCACACCCTTGCCAATACCACTGATAACTCCTCCAGTTACCAGGATATACTTCATCGCTATGTATCTAAGAAACCCAGCCAGGATTGATAGATCTTACTCTGAAAAAAGAATGGAATAAATTCACTGCAATCCATTTATACTACATGTGAAATATCATAACTCTGCATGCTGACTGACCACAACAGGCAGCTTAAACAATACTGACAGGGCTTTTTTTCACAGTTTGGGGAAGCAGCCCAGCCCTTAATTTTGGGGAAAAATTACACGGTATATTTGCAAAAGGGGAAGAAAAAACTTGATGTAAATTCAATTTTTGGGGAAAACTGCATGATTTTAAAGAAATTTTCCTTGGGGAAGCAGCCCTATACCGGCCCCTGTTATAGAAGGTAAAAAGGCCCTGACTGATGACTTAACTCTTCATAGATAACATTACAAACTATAACTATTTAATCATTTCCTGTTGTAATTATTAATAATGTTTATACATCAGCAGTACTGTAGTTATAATGAGATTCATTCATCAAACAAATTTATCATTTTGATCAAGGTGGCATCATCTTCAGAATGTAAAGTCAAAATATCTGGACAACCTTGTATAGCCTAACAGAACTGTACTTCTGAATTTCATACATGTATACCTATAACAAACAGATTTTTCTTCCCTATTTTTAAGCACATTGAACATTGCACAATTTTGTATCATTCTTGTAAACAAGCCAGTTTTTTAAATCATTCATTTTTCGTCATTTCCTTTTTTTTTTAAAAATTAAATCACACTTTTTAATTACCTAAAACATTGAAAACTCTTTCATTACCAAAAATGTAATAATAATTTATGAAAACATCTTTCTAAGTTTGTAAATAAGTCTGTATATTAATTTGTGGTTTCAACAATAAAGAGTAATAAAACAAACCAATATATTAATAAATTGAAAAGTGGGCCAGTTGACCCATGCCGAGTTGGAATAGGGTCGATTTGACTTAGGAGCCGAGTACGTTTTAGGGCCAAGCTGACCCTGATTCCAATTCTGGAGGTCCATATTTATTTATTTAATCTTTTTAGCAGACTTTGATTTTTTTTGCATCAGAAATCGCATCAAAAAGGTCAGAATTCTTTTCATCATGCAGCTAAATTTAGAACAGAAGCTGCTGATATAAAGCTATAGCAACTGACTGGTCTACAGTGCAAGTGAATATTAACCGCACTTGAAAAATCAATTCTAGCAGTGAACAGGTGCGCATAATGGGCTTAAAGCATAAAAATGAATGTCAAGTAACTTAAATATCGTAATGGTACGTTCTAAGCAAGTGTCCCTATCGGGCCCACTGTTGAATTTGTTTTGCCCCGACAGGCTTTTCAGGTCATTGGTCCAATAGCGCGATCTAGAATCTCTGGACACTCGGACTGCATCAAGCACATTTTGTCATTTTATAATATGTTGCCAAGAATAAGTACAACATAAACATTAGGGGTGTAACAATACAGCAAAAACCGTATTGCAATATATTGCCATTTTGCTGTATTGTCGTGTATATGTTTTGATGTAAAGATGGAGTAACATTTATATATTATTATTATATGTATATATTTTTAGTAGAAACTTAATAAAAATGTAAGGAATAAATAGAAAGTAGTGTCACACAATTTGATAAACAAAACTAGTCGCGTGTGACCTTTCACATCTGGGCCGCTTCTGTAAATTATGCGGCCGCTTATTGGCTTTTAAGTGTACTAGTTGTCGGATACTTTTATCTTACGTTGGCGCCAACAAAATTTGCCAATTAAACATTTTATGTGAAATTTGTACAAAATTAGAAGGCAATTAATTGAAAATGATGATTTTTATAAAATACCGGTTTTCCAAAAATCGTACCGTGGTTCGAAATTTATTTTTTCATATTGCAATATATCGGTATACCGGTAAACCGTTACACCCTTAATAAACATATGGGTTATATTTCTTAAGTTGTGAAGAAAGCATAGCTGTTGTTGGGTAGTTTTATTATTAAAAAAAAATGATGGGGAAAAATTTTGTCAAAATATGTTGTCATGCCAAAGCTAGATTCTGAGATATGTTTATTTTGGGTCAATAGCTCGCTAATTGCCCACACACAAAATAGCACAATATCTCCTCAAAATTACTGTAAAGTTGAACTAGGAAAGATTGTGCACAATTTATGTCTGCTGAAAACTTGTAAATGCTGAAAATAGCATATTGGAACATTAGTCTATACTTAAAAAAAGGTTATAAAATCAACAGTAAACTTTATCTATTGCCACCACTTGTATTGTAATTTTGTCATTTCTAAGTCACATGTCTGTAACAGAAAACACGTGTTTCCAATAAAAACAAATGTCACGAAAATATGTGACATCTTTTAAACAGCCGTAAGATACAATTTAAAGTAAGGTGATTATCTTCCTTACGAACATATGAGTTAAAATTTGTTAGATATAGCTGAAGGCTATCTTTTTTTGACGGTTTTATGTTGGTATCCTTTAGAAATGTTCTTTTCTCACCTTTCCCGCAGATTTTTTTCTTCTTCTCAACCTGTTTAAATTCCGTTCTATTCCGGTCGTTAGTTTCGGTTTGATAAATTCCGTATTTCAAGTACGGCTCCGCCCTACAGAAGATGGATTGATCAGGCATTTTACCTGATAATTCAGTATCCATCACGACATTGATATATCAACACGTATAAAAAGCAACAAAGAGTATGTTAAAATATTATCATATCAATTAATCTATCTCTGAATACTGTCAACCCCTCTTGCGAGAAATTGTTAGTGTAAGGTGAAAGAAAAGTAAAATAGTCCAGGCATTAAAAACATGGAAGGTGAGACTGGAAAAATATTAATTTGACATTGGACTTAAAGCGGACCGGATGTTTTAAATCCCTGACATGTTGCGGCTGCGTCTTTAAAGGAAAATTCTATTTGAAAAACCCTAATTGCGGTAACCTCGGCTTTATTTAATTACAAAGCCGTGCTGTAACTTATTCAACTTTTTCACAAGATACCTTAACCGTAGAACTTAGTTAGTGGATCTCCCAGTATCAGTAAAGTAATCACTGAATGAATTTGAAAATATTCTATAATTAGAAAGTAGTTGCGGACATTACAGATATATATATATATAATAAAGTGTTTAGTAGCGTTTAGTAGGCCCCATTATAGAATAGCCGGTTAATTGTTGGATAAGCCTAAGTTAGTATGTTTGACTTCTAAACGAGTTCGATCTCCAAACACTCCGACTAAAATCAAAATAAAGGTAAGACTTAAACCTTAGCCATGTGTGATTGCGTGTGATTGCGTATATAATCATAACTTGTAAGTTAAAAAAAACCCCAAAAGCCCAAACAAACTGTTTGTGGCTCGCCCGTATCATATGGTCTCCGATATCAACTACATGTATAAATAATTGTACAAATGTGATACATTTCTTTCGTAATATTTACTTTCGCGTACGTGTAGTTACCAGTACCCTGATACTTAATAAGTTAGTCGTTATTTTCGGGCACGTGCTTAAAACTGCAGCTACCCAATTCCAGAATCGTCCCTGGCATTTTTATACTTTAATCCTCGCCTACCGAAACGAGTAATATATACTTGAAAACAGTCGTTTATAATGTCCACAATTTTCATAAAGTTCTAATAAAGTAATAATATACGTAAATTAAAGTGCCGTGATCTGTTAAAACTTGCCCCGAACTTCACTAAAGTTTGTTATATTTTTGTGGTCCTTCGGGATCATTGATTCCAGCACTTTTAAGTGTTGAAAATTGAGTTAAATTTTCTTTATCAATCATGTACAGAATCAATCCAACCGAGTCTACAATTTTCATGTACTTTTGTTGTGATTAATGCATCCGAGGGACCACTCTTTCATAACTTAAATAATCACCGATGTAAGTTAAGCATCTAAAATATTGTAAGTACATAAGGGAAATTTCAATTTTTTCTATAAATACAGGATTTATTTTCATCGAGTGGTATGAAAATAAATATTTCATGAGTGGCGGTAGCCACGAGTGATACTAGTATATGATAATTTTCATACCACAAGATGAAAACAAATCAAGTATTTATGAAAAAAAACTTGAATTTTCTGTTTATTATATACATTTTTGTCTTTTTTGACATTACAATTTGAAAGATTTTCACTTAAATTTTGTGTATTGGTTGAATTTAGAAAAAAGTAGCCCGAAAAGATATGGGTGAAAAAATATTGACTGAAGTGAAAAATATTTTTTTTACAGTGAAAATACGGAAAATGAAAATACGCATTTTATTCCGTCAATATTTCTCAATATTTCATTTATAAGTATACAATAAATGTACTTACGTAATAAGTACACTCGCCTGCTAACTCCAGAAAAGGAACGTCAGTTTTGTTAAATGCTTGCTTTGAAAGTTTCGAGAATATGGTCCGATTATGAATAAATATGCGCATGACATTGACATTTAATGTTTTACTTTTCTAAAAATCTAAATATCAACGTACAAGCAGCTGAAGATCATAATTATTGTCATGAATATCATCCTATTTTATATACTAATACTAAATATATTCTGACCTATATACTGGAAGCGTTCAATTGATTAAAGCAAATTTGCTTACAATCAAACATGATAGGTAATTAATTTTTCGACTTATATTTGCACGTTGATACACAAACAATACAGATGACCTACATTATTTAAACGATCTGTCGCTTTAAACCATAATTGGTTCACTATGTTATTGAAATGACTGTATTGATATTTGAAGTATATTTGAAGTAATCTTAAAATATGTTCTTTCCAATTAAAATAAAATTATATTATGTTTATTTAGAAACGAAATCTATTTAAAATCATTCACTTTTAATGCCGAAATATTTTATCTTTGTATGTCTTTCGTTCTTTTGTCTTTGGTGATTTAATAAATTGCTCTTATATAAAATGATTCTTTAATCAATGAACACGCATTTTTTTGCATGTCAGGCAGGATTTTCTTAAGTTAACACCGGTGACAGAACTCGAAATTGCTTTTTGCCGGAGGTAATACAGAACTGATACAAACTACATTTATTGTTCGAAGATATTTTTTTAATCGCAAACTGAATGAGCTTGTATTAGGCATACTTGTTCAAAATAAACGCTGTATTCAATATTTCATACATGCTTAAGATGTGACAATTTTAAAACGTTTGTTTAATGTTTGGCACAAGATATCAATCTAATAAGTTCAAGTGCTCAGCCAATTTGTAGACGTTCTAGAACAACATATCGTCATCAACATTTTTCTTCAATCATTTTAGTAGCAATAATGATCTATTCTCAATTCTTGAAATCGAATTAATTCAGGTTTCAAAGAATATTGCCTCACCAATTTTAACGCAAAACAACACTGAAAATAAGAATTCGGGGATAGGAAAAATGAGGTAATTTACTAGGCTATTTAATAAACCATACAAAGAAATATGCAAGAATGCGAAATTGCAACTGGGCATTTTATCAGCTTGCACCTTGGCGACAGGCTGAGATGAAAAAGTTGAACAAACTTATGTTTAATACATGTTGGGCATTGTCCAGGTTAAATTAAAACAAGTTCAGCTAGTTTATTCAAGTTGAGGTAAGACACCACCACGTTGTCGTCAAACATGTTTACAAGTGTAGTTTACCTTTAAACCTTAAAACCATCAAGAATTAATTCTTTTTTCTGTATACAACTTTGCTGCCGGCGTCTGAATCTGCCCATGCAACAGGTACAGGCCAAGATCAGCCGGCAAATCCATGTCATCTAATCTTAATGTCATCTAATCTTAATATGCACTGTTCGCTATTCAGTCAGTACATATTTTGATATTTTCCCTGAAAATCATGAATACCTAAGTCCAGATTGAGAAAAGGATAAGTTCATTTAACATAGAAAGAGTTAATGAACTAACTGATAAATCAGCGAGATGTACCTTTGACATAGAATAAATAAAACGTTTAACTGACGTTTGCATGGAAAAACCTCATTTTTCTTACACGAAAGACTGATGGTGTTTTTGCATGACATATTTATAGCATGCCATGTTAATTCAAAGATAACGGATAACAGGCTTGTAATTTACCCTTTCGACACTGAAAAGAATGGCCACTTATTCAATTTTATCCGTGTCAGTGTGATTGTAACGTTTTTGCATAATTTATCTTAACTATTTACGTGTCAATTTCTTTGAATTTTCAGTAGAAAGGAATGGCAAATGAACACGACGCCCGCGTTGCTATGCAAACATGTCAACCGTTACACGAAATAATCACCTATTAGTTTACGCCATGAAATTCTTTGCCAAAAATAACAAAACAATTGTAAATTAGAAATATAATTTGAAAAAGCTAACAAAGTATATCACAAATTGAGCAACAGTGGTGTAGTTTGTCAACTTATTCAGTTGTTTCTTATCTTTTATAATTCAATAATCAAGTGGTATACATAATTGAAAAACGCTATATAGTATAACAAGGAACATGGCTACATTTCTCTGAAACATTGCAATGAAAGCTTTACAAAAATAATAACAATAGTTTATTATGAAAGACAGTGAATTTGTATTTTGCATCTACTAAATAAATAACAAAATGCAGAACCAATATACTCTTTTAGTGTTTTTATATCAAGTTTTAAGAATGATAGAAAAAAGTCTAAACAAATTGTTTGATGCTTTGCACTCTGCAGTTGCTTCAAAGCGCTCTGAAAATCCAAGATCTATTTATAGTAACAAATTTACAAAGAGGCAGTTGCTGGCGTACATGTACACTAAATTCTACTTTACAACAAAAGATGTAAACAAGTAAACAAAATAATAATACTAAAAACATATGATATTGCATAAAACAATAATTGACATTCTTTTGCTAAACATTAAAAAATAAAGAAAAAAAGAAATGCAATACTGTTATCTCTGTAGAATACTGGAAACAAATACATGTAAAATATACATTTAGGACGGATTTATAGGACGGTTGTACTGGACGAATACTTAGGACGTGGAATTCGTCCATCTGCTTTTGCATTTCTGTCATTAATCAGGACGGCTAGAAAAATGTTCCGATTGTTAGAAAGGCACATACCTTTGTTTTCGTTCTTTATTATTTCATGTAAATATTTATGTTTTTGTATGTATAAATATTATGCTCTTCAACTACTGGAGAGAATAAAACAACGTAGGACATATGACAATAAGGCTACATACATGCTCTAATTCATGTAGCAAAATGATGCCAAACATCAATACCTCTTATGAATTATGTAAAACCTGAAAATAATTGACAAAAATGATGCATGAAGAAAAGTCCGAAGAGATTGCGATATATCAAAGCAAATTAATGGAGTACATGGTTTATCACTGATTGCATGAAACTTTTTTATGAAAAACATTCATGTAATTACATATGATTCCTTAATAACATGATAGTGAAAATATTTAAAATATCTCACTTCGTACTGATATTTAACGTATAATCACTGAAAACAAAAATTATATGTACGTGACAAAGCTATCAAGATAACATAGGTATTATGTTACAACAAACGCCATTACTTATTAAAATCTCATAGTTTTATCAAATGATTTTCTTTGTACTAAAAAGTGCAATTGCATGTTAACAATATATGAGTTACAAGTGGTGATAAGAATCTATGGAAGGAATATAACCTAATTACACACTTGGAAGAGCTTACTGTGTACGTTTCAAATAAAACAATATAATTAAATGTTGAAAAAATGGTAATCGCCACTTTCCAGGCTTTTCGTCCGACTTCGGAATACTTTGACCACTACATTAGGTATGCGCATTGGCACATACTAAGTATGTCAATAAAATCACATTTCCTTATCAAAAGTTCCATGTTAGTCAAAGCCAACATTTTACATAAGTCCTATAGGAGAAGACTCTTCACTGTCGTTTGCTCACTTTGCATGTTTTTATGTGTTGAACTTGTTTAAAATTAAATATACATATAGATTAAGGCAGGTCTGTTTGAAAACGGGACAAAGGCTAAATCTACATATACAATCACATTTGACTGATGCTTAAAAAACTAGAGTATATACGGTTTAAGTACTTTCAATAAAATGTAATATGATGTAACTAGCATAATACAAAGTACAGAAGAAAGTTTGTCTTTTATCTGATGAAAAAAATACAAAAAAAACACGCAAGCGCTACTTAATGACAATGATTGTACGGTAGATAACGGCTGGCGTATCATTTAGCCAAGTTGTTACTCAATACCAGCTTAAATAAATAATAATAACATCAAATATTCTGTTTCGTCTAAAGATATGAATCAGGTTTTTTTCCGTGTATTAGTGTACCTAGATTCACATTCGTTCATTTGTATTGTATGTCTTATACATGTTCAGAGACACAGAACCACCCTGTAGCACAAACTCCTAGTTAGCTCAGACTCACAATCATCAATATGCCTATAGATATTACATTTGTACATACACATTCATTAAAAATTTATATAAAAATGCTTTACTGTAATGATATTGCTGGGTTGGACATCGTAACATTTGCTAACAACTTAGAATACGTCACTTCAAATTAATGAAAATTATTGCAAAATAAATTAACAGAAAGTAAAAAATAGATAGAATATTCTGTTTTATCTTAAGATATACAAGACGTATGTCAGAATTTTTATATAAGCTTATTCACACTCCCTCATTGAAAAATATATAGTATTATTAGTAAAAATCCCCACCTTACTGTCACGAAATCGCAATATATAAAAGATGTTCCAGATAAAGATATATAAATGCTTTACTTCGTGTATTTTACTGTAACATTTGCTACAAATATGCCATTGATCATGAAGAATATTGCAAAAATAGATTAACAGAGTCTAAAAATAGATAGATCATTCTGAGACATCAGCAAATGTCAATGTAGGCATGCAAAATTCTGAATGTCGAACACCAATCACGTGACGAGGAGACTGTTCCATGTGACTATTTACATTTTGCGGATTGTATGCCCCAGGGCCAGGGGTAATGTTTTTATTGTGATAGGTATAATTTCTACCTAAGACAGAATATTCCGGACTTTTTCGTTTCGTTACAGATGGAGACTGGGCGCCATATTGTGCTGGGCCGGGGGTGTTAGCCAAATCTTCAGCAAAGCCGTGTTTCTCTCGTCTAGGAAACAATGTATGTGACGGGGCACCTGTCCGATTCGGCACTTTGCTGCCTAAAGTCGATGGAAGCAGATACACGTTAGGTGATGGGCCATTATCAACGCTCCTCATTTTGGTCCTTGGTGACATACTGTACTGTGGGGCATTCTTTTCCCAAAGTGGTCGTCTGTCTGTATCGTACGCACCAGGTCCCGGCGTATTATTCTTTTTCACTGTAAGTTTAAACAATATAATATAGAATAACAGGTTACATCTTTACCAAACTATACGTTTATAACAGATTTTTTTTTTCATTTGGCAAGCGTGGCGTTCATCTGTGTTTGTTAAGTACATCTTACAGCAAAGTGTTGTGTAGCATATACTAGTAACGCATACGTTATTAAAACCTTTACAAGTCAGATAACCGGGTCTACCTACAACACTTGCAATATAATCTGTAAACACGCACACACTTCGTAACCCATAATATACTGTGAGTTAATATAATTTCATGGCCATGGAAATTTCATGGTTTTGTCAGAAAAGATGTATTCGTGGATTCTTAATTCTTGGATTACAAATTTGCAAAAATGTAATAATGCAAATTATGCTTTGCAATACAATCTTACAGCAGACGATATGAAATTTTATTGGATCTTAAATTCGTGGATTGACTTGTTCATGAAAATCGCACTCATTTTAAGTGTCCTACGTATAAGAATTATTTTGCAGTCAACGCACGGGCATAGCATGGAAAGCTCAACATATCCTTAATACAGTAAATATTGACTTGGTGCAATATTCATCAATTGTGCAAAAATCTTCACAGCTGATTAAGCGTAACATATACCCGTTTTACCGGCATGCTGTTTTAACTTTCTGGAACACTTAATAAATTCATATGATTTTTTCCGTACAAATTTTAAATGTATAACGAATGATGCGTAATAATATTTGATTGAATGAATTTTAATGAAATAACGGAAATTTGAATAATTGTTTCTACAGATAACCGGAGACAATGTGATAATTCATATATGAGCAAATTGCATTGTTGTTTGTCCTGAACTTCAATTTTCTAACATGCCATTGGTAAGTGATATTTCATGCATAAACTATTAGAATTGCCAGGTCAGTAGCTTATAAAATATGCATGGTTGCCTGGTAGCATCAATAAGTTAATTGTGCCTATAAATCATGAAAATATGCTGACGCACTACTAAAAGTCATACAAAAGTTCATTTTGTTCTGCTGTGTTTATAACTCAAGCATGCAAGCTCTATTTATGCCTATCCTTAATTGATTAGCATGAAGAATTTAATATGAATGTTGTTTAATATAACTTGTTGGTTAAATAAACACAGAAAGGTACGATTGTGTTGCTCAAAAAATGTTGACAATGATGGTAAGTACAGGAAGAGCATGTCATTTCAAGATAAGCGGGCATCATTTATTTTATTATTGATTCACATCGTTCCTGATTAAGCTGTCAAGCCGTTTACCAGTACATGTACTATAGGTGCCTTAACGTCCACAAGGAACTGATTACTTCTGTACATACCAGAGAAGAGGTACAGTGCGAATGACCACAGAAATTATTCCATGATCAATCACAACTAAAGTGACCTGCGCAATCTCGGAATCGAACCCGGATTGCCCGATTCACAGTCCAATGTTCTACCTATTGAGCTAATATTGTTACTTTAATACCGTACATTACAATGTATTAAGATTACCTGGAGTTTTCGGTCTAATCCCGAATGAGAAGGAAGGTCGCGTGTTCTTGCCACGTGATCCAAGGGAGGAGTCTACATTATATGCGGGACCCGGGCTGTCCGACTTAAATGCTGAAAAAAATGAAACAATAGTGTTATCGTTATTCCAACAGTAGAGAACTCACTTATCAATAAGAATATAACATTTGAAAGAATGTTTTGTTTTTGTGTTTGTTTTTTGCTATACGATACCTATTAGTGTTGTATCAGCATGGGACTCATACAATCATTCAAAATGTAGCAAAAGTACAAAGAAAATGAAACCCAATTGTGTGCATGTATCACACAGTATTACGTGCAAGTTAAATATGTACATGGAAAATCAAACAAAGGTTGATTACTAGATGATCAGAACCGTAAAAATGCATTTCGTGGCACATATTTTGATAATTTGAATGAAAAAGAATGTAATTCACGTTTATATTGCGTGTACGATATTTTTTAAGATAATACACGTCTGACTCGCAAGCTTTAACGTACTTTCTAATATTAAAGATTAAGTATAGACAAAGTGAACAACTCAATAAATCGTTCTATTTTGCTATCTTTAGTCGTATAAAAAATATTTCTCTGTCAGCAATCAATCACACATTTAAAGTTTGAAAATAATCTTGAATCGTGTCACATATCGGCTTGACCGGCCACTCATGGTAGAAAAATAAAACTGTAAAATATCTCGAAACAACTTGGTTTGATATTTTAAGTTTTGAAGTATAAGTAACAATATGGCTCGTGGGTACTTTGATATACTCGTTAAAGTCCTTAGGGTCACTCGATGTTGTATTTATAATGCTATAACAAGTAAATCACGATGCGTTATCAGCACTTAAAGTTACATAACAAACTGCAGTAACACTCGAAATTTTGTCCAGATAGTTTTTTATTGTTGACAAACCAATTAAATATACACTCGAAACTTAGACGTTTCTTTGAAGTGGGTTTTGAGGACTAAATCTTGTTAAATGCTTTAAACTGTAATAAATTCACGAAAACCGATTTAAAAGCATTAATTTTAAGATTTAAATGCCCTGTCAAGGATTATAATTCGGGTTCTGATTATTTTTGCAGTTTTATGGCATACAACATTTGTTTTATTATTTCTTTAAACATCTAAGGCACACAGAGACATGACTGCCTCTGTCTTGTAAACATGAAACGTTAATCCATGATATAACAAATTTTACAGTCCATCATTTGTTATTAAAGTATGGATAAAGTTTAGTGTCTATGTAAGTAGAATAATCGGCTCCATATTTAGTCACAATGGCACCATCGAGGTCATATGAACGCTTCACAACCAAATACTCTTCCTTGCATTATTTCACACACGACCAGATATTTGAATATCACCACTAACCAGCTGTGCACTTATGGGATAGCTACCTCAACTGAGATAATTTGGCGTTCCTGTCGAGTTTTGTAAATATATGGCGAGGACCGTCAATGCTATGTCGAGATCCGTAAATATTTGTCGAGGTCCTAAAATAATTTGCGAAGTCCATACGTATAATAATAAATTATGAGAGTAGCCCTAAGACCAAAGATTGCTATTGATAAAGAAGCAACGAGTAAATCGGATGTATACTGTTTCGAACGACACCACGGTATTTACTTTTCGTCCAGTTAAATTCTAACATTATATTGGATGTGAGGATTTGAAAGATAAAATCACTTAAACCTTTTAATACTAGTGTAAATCGATGATTTTTATGTCTGAAAATAACACAGTCATAAAAAGAATGCTTTTGAAAGTGCGTAATTAGCGTCTTAAAAAGCGAACGTTCAGTTCCACATAGTGAACGATCGATACATATTGTGATATATCGTTGAATTATCTCTTAATCGAGACATTAACCGTTATATGTCATTATAAAAATGTAAGTTAACAAGCTTGTATCGACAGATCATGTTAAAGGTTGTTTTAGCAGAAACAATGGCGTCGATATTGTAAAAAGATTGAGCTTCTCACGCCGGAAGCGTTGCCTCGTGATCTTTTCTAAAATTACTTTGCGAGATATGTTCAATATTAAACCTTTCAGAGTGCTTTGTCCCTTGCTTTGTTTATAATTGGAAGGAGTTTTAAGCCAGATAATTAAGAAATAATCTGAGTCAACCATTGGTCAATTTAATGGTTGACCTTATGCGCATTTATCGAACAATGGTGATATTTTAAAGTGTTTAAATTATTCGCATCCAAATGAGTATGAAAACTGTTACGAATTATGCCTATATGTGCTTCATTTTGATAAATTTCTGTCAAGAGGATATTTTTTTAATCAGTTCACAATATAAGCCGTTATAATAAGCCCTATTGTTATTACAAGCAAATATTTAGTGGTATGAAACAATAACAAATACTTACACCATGACCTTGACCCGAATGAGAACGCCGGAGAATTCCTTTTTGTTACATCTGCGTTGTTTCTACCGACTGTAGGTGGTAATAAGTAATGAGCTGGTCCAGGCCCTGAAAATAGAGAAAATAGTATATTAAAACAGTTTTGACAAATCTGGCAGTCCAGGCATAGAACACTTAAATGGCAGTGCTGTCATGCCTCAAGTACACACACAGGACAACTTGCGTGTTCAAAGCTATAATAATGTATTAAAATTTAAAACGTAATGTTGGCATGTAGTTTAAACATGCTTTATTTTAGTTCGTATAAGATGAAAACTTGTAGCCTTTTTGAACCTTTCTCGAGTCCGCCGTCTAGAACTAACCGTTATAGTTATATGTCTTATGAATCATACTCGAAAGTGGGAGATGAGTTAACTTTTTTTGTTGATTTAAAAAAATAGAAACTTTATTAAAAATATATCAAAAGTGTAAGAAATGTATTAAACGCTGTGGGTATTCTTAATCTATGTCTTTTTGTGTATGTTCCATAAAAGCTTTAACAGAAAATAAAACATGTTACCAACATGCTCGACATACTACTTCGTCACTACAGAGGTGTACGGTTACTTTTATCATTTTTAAACAATAGTTCATATGGAGCTTAAGTATCTAAGAGAAATCACTTTGTTTCTTTACTTCCCAACAACTTTGCTAACAAGAATACTTTGTTGTTGTTTTTTTTTATATAAAAATTAGCATGAAACTTGATTCGTGCTCCTTTTAAATGATTTTTAGCGGACGACTGATTGCACCAATATATGCATTATGAATATAATGTTCTCCGTGGGAGGTTACTTTAACTATACAAAATTTGCAGGCGGAATTTATTGATTTCATTACAAGAATAATACATCATAATCATTTAAAAACATCAACTGTTGCGTGTTAGCGGCGATTAAAACAAACAAACAGTAAGGCCAGTCTGAACATCCGCATAACATGACTAGGGTATGGTGGCTTCTACACAATGTACTTTTACCTGCACATTAGCAAAGTTTAATACTGAAAGCCTTAATATTCTTTGTTGGATGTTAAGAACTCGAACCAGGTGTTTGTTTGTCGTTTTGTTGTTGTTTTTTTGTTGTTGTTTTTTTTTGGTTTATACAGAATTTATTTTAGTTCGATTGTGTAGGAAGCTATAAGCTATAGACACACTTTCGAATCCGTTCCTGGAACCAACCAGTACTGAGCAATGAGTGTAAAGTTTCTTGCTCAAGGAAACAACAACTTGCCCTGACGGGGTTTGAACCCATGCGGCTAGCGATCTTTAGTATCATTGTTTTTTGGTATGTTTTACGCCGATTCTAACAAATAACTTGGCCATATCTGGGCGGTCGACCGGTTTTTATGGATAACTAACTAGTACACTGTTATTACGAATTTCTCCACAAGTGACTGATTACTAATGCCACATGATTTCTGAATCAGCGATGACAAAGACAAATGAGCATAAGACCTAATGTCCGAGATCAATTTTTCAAGGAAATATGTTTATCGTCGCGCTCGAGGATCGAGCCTGGGACTTCAGGAATAATTATCCGGTGCTCTTCCATTCAGCTAAGCCGCATACTTGAGTCAGGCGTAGCGCTAGCCCATTATATACATTTAACCAAGGTAAGGATAAAAAAGAAAGCTTTCGATTTTCTTGCATTGGAAGAAGGAGCAAAGAAGCTTCATTATATAATTCATCAATTATATATAGAGTCATAGTACCTGTGCTCGACCAGCCCAGTGCTCGACCAATAATTCTATCTGTGTACGATTTATGCATTAAAGTGGAAAAATCCTGGGAGTTTATGTGTGCTATTGGTACCTGACCTGTTACCTCTACACCATGTACAAGTACTACAAGTTTGGTAGAAGATTGGCCATTTTGCAGACAATATTAAACAGTATAAAAATACAATTCTATGATAAAAGTAGCAAAACACTATAATAATGATAATTTAGGGCAAATATGGACAATACTTTGTTAAATTGCCTAAACTCTTATGTTTCGAATTGATTTCCATCAGGAAAGGCGCCCAAAAATCATCAAAACCCAGTTTTCCATAAAAGGCAGGGGCTATGAACATGTAAAAAAATATGGCAGCTGTACGAAAACAAATCGGGAACACACCACTAAAAGCATAGAAAATTTGTATATTGCACCAAGTATCACACTTAACTATGTTTGCAGAGTGATTTTAGTAAAAAATATGAGAATAAGTAATCTCAAACACCCCAGTAAATTTAAATTCCAAAACTCTTATAAACACTTTATTTGTCAATGTATAGCATTTCCTTCGTATCATATTTACTCTCATATTTACACCTATAGACACTAAAACATAAATGTTTCAAAATATTTTTGAAATAGAATTGTTGAACATAAAAAGTCATATCTGTTTTTAAAAAATAAAAGTTCTGATAGAGATAAAACCCACCTGGTCGAGCACTGGTTTGGTTGCCTGAAAAAATATAGTGGTTTTATACCCTATGTAGAACTCCGTGGTAAATTGTATCCTGATCTGTGTCGTTAAAACGCTTTAGCTTAGTGTGAGTTTGAAAGGGCCAGCTTTGTAACAAAAATAAGTTTCCCAGCAATTTGTTTGTTCTGAAAGAGTTTTTATGTGATTTATGAAAAACTGGTTGAGCACTGGTACGGTGACTCTACATGTATCAACCCAGTAACGACCACTTAATATCCAGCAATATATTAATATTGCACGTGGGCTTTATTCTATTTATAGGTCCTGAATGGCATTCGGTTTGATAACTATGAAAGCCACACCGAAATAATAGTAGAAGGAATGGCGTGTATTTTTGATCATCACTAAGATTAAAATATAGGCAAATTTTATCGGATTAACACAATTATTATACTATAATTTCAACTTGTTGTAATTAATTTCTCATTAATCGAACGAGTTTCGTATGACTTGAAATGAAAGAAATTATTAAATATTTATTCATCGTGATTGCCTGATATTATTATTGTAGATATAAAGGAATGTAATCTACATGAATTATAGGAAAGCGTATGAATTTGTGTCAATGCTTTTGTTTATTTATTGATTAAACATTATACACATTTTATATTCATTTTTGTAAATACATGTAAATCTTATTTTAAGCTTTTACTGCAAAAGTAAGCATCGTTAATGATAATTTCTGATCTGAAGATTTAACAACTACATGTACTGTAAATTCACTTAATTTCGTGGGCATGAAATTTTGTAGTTTTGTCACAAAGAACATTTTCGTGGGTTCTTAAATTTGTGGACTGTCTATTCTAAGATAAAATGCAAATAATATGATGCAAAAAATCTTACAGCAGACGTAATGAACTTTCGTTAGATCTTAAATTCGTGGAATTAACTATCCACGAAAAGAAGTTCATCGCTAATAATAATGAACAGAACAGAACAGAACATATATTTTATTTTGAATTAAGCATATACAGCTCATCTTCATATACAACAAATATATACATTCATGAATATGAAAAATGGTAAACGCATATCAATAAATGAAATAAACTAGTGAGAGTGTAATACAACACATGTAATATTTACAATCCTTATATAACTTTAAACAAAACAACAAGGTGGTCTTATATAGCATTATCCGGCATTCAATGAATCAAATCTCAATTTAAAGGCTTTTTTACAATATATAGCTAATTTTGTTAACACTGACTTCCTTTCTGAATTCAGCAATTCTAAAAATTTAAACATGCTAGGGTTTCTTGTAAAATAGTTGGATATATACTGTTTCCTAAGAGAATCATACTCATACTAATCAATAATGAGTTTGCAGTATCTTTAATTATATTCAAACAGTTACACGAGCACATGCCGATCATGTCGGACTTTGTTACCCAAGTTATATCACTATTTCATTGCAACATATATCTCTTATACATTTATTCCATTTACAATTAAAATAATGACAAGGACGGTTAATTCTGAATTATTTCAATTTACATACGCATGTGGAAAGTCTCACAACAATCAGGGATAAATTTATTTTTATATCATGTCCCAGCTAGAACGGTTGATAGGTTGGTGGAAAGTTGCCTATTTCTTAAATATTCATTGATCTTGAAATGCATTTATCAAAACATGCTGGCTTTGCTTTTAAAATGATGCAGTTCATCGCCGATATGAAACCAAACTTTGTCTTTGATCGATTACATAATGCCGATACTTAAATTATATTCCCTGAGGCGTTAAATCATGCTTTGCCTTAAAACTAGTAGATAAATCATATTAAATTCATTGAACAAAATATCTATAATCAATAAATTTTGTAAATTATAACCATAGCTCATTTGTTAAAATAATTTTGACTGTTGTTCATGTGTTGAATATAGAATTACATATTTTGAATGCATATATGGTTATACTTTGTACGATATGCTTCATTCTGATTATTGTTTGATTCATTTGTTTCCGTATATTTTTATCGAATATTTTTTAGACGTAGTTAAAATCAAAATTTCAAAATTGACAGAGAAATTATATGTGTTTGATAAGTAGAATAATTTGTGCAGAATCAGACACTTTACTCACTTACATTAACGTCAATAAATTGTGACATCGTAAAGTTTCGCCATATTTCGATATCAAATCAATCGCATTTTTTTGTGATTTCCGTAATTTTCGGTAATTGTACTTGATATCGGTCAGGAATATGGCGAGATGATCGTTATTTTTGGCAATGGAGTTTTCCTTAGTAGAGAATTCGTACACTGAACGTATCTAAGTTAACTGAATACGAGAGTATTTACGCCTATTTGATTGATGGAGCGCTTTAGTAAATTATACACTTACCCGGTATGTACAAAACGTTTAGTAAAACGTATCCCACCGTTCTAAAATTGCATTATAATCAAGCAAATTTAACCTCTTACATTGTGTCGTAAGTGCAGTTCTTTTATGTCACGGAAAATAACCTATCTCACTAAAGGCATACAATTTCAAAAGAAAAAAAGGATCATTTCAGAAATAATATTTATTCATCTTATGTAAAGAGTTGGATAATATCAAACATAATGATTTATATACGAAAACCTTAGGTTATTGAAAGTTGATAATGGATGTAAAAGTTTCCCCATAATAATACTTCACAAATGTTTAACAAAAAATAAATAGCATATCTTGTGAAAAGTGGTATTTACTTTATCATAATCTCACACGCATTTTCATTGCAGCATTAATCTCTAAGGGGTGATCGTGGAGATATTTTATACAAATATGTTTAGGTACCTGTCTTCAAGATAGCTGTTTGGATAGATAATAAATATGCATACATGTACGAAATGTGATCCACGAAATGTATGTACTATGATATACCCCTAACCACGCTATTAAATATCTTAAATGGACATGTCCATCTTTCAATATGAACAAAACCATTAATAATTTTTTTGCGAAAATTTCATAATCAGTACTAACTGAATAGCCTGGGAAAAATATTAATAAGTTCTTACTGGATAGCTATGTATATATTAGTAAGAACTTATTAAATGGTCATGCTTGGGGAAAATTTTATAATAAGAACTTACTAAATAGCCATGCTTGGGGAAAATTTTATACTAAAAATTTACTAAATAGCCATGCTTGGGCAATCCAAAGTCAAATGTTTCGCAAACAAATTGTGTGCCAGTTTAAAAATATCTTTCTCAAAAAAGATTGATAGATTATTCCATATTGGATAGTTTGGTTATTGATAATTTGTATTTTATCTTTTGCTTCTTATGTTATGTTGTTTAAAATATATGCCTAACTTTGTATTTACATATACGTTTATAAAGATTTTAAAATTTTGATATAAAACTTTAATGTTAAACTTTAATATCAATATAAAATTATGCACATACGTGTCACATTAAAACAATTTGAACATGAATTTCCTTAACATTTTGCTGGATGATTTAGAACATTTTTTCGTAAATGAATCTAAGCAAGTTTTATAATGATTTTATTATTTATTAAGTTTGATTTTTGAACTTTCTTATCACGTCTAACGTGATATTTCTGTTTTATTTCGTTTACAAATTGTGCACGTGAAGATAAGATATATATTAATGTCATATGTCATATGTCGGTCTTATTAAGCTATTGATAAACATGTATTATTATTACGACATTAAAGCAGCATGCCTCCAGATAAAAGCTTTTTTACACGAAAATTTTTAAAATGTATTAAAAAGTAAAATACCGGTACTGTATAGTAAACAAAGAAAGTAATTTACACATTGCAAACGGCACTTAAAATCTACGAAAATTACAAAAAAATAGGTCAGAATATGCAAAATCAGCCCCTACTGCGTTACTCACGCAGGACGTGGTGATAAATACGGCACAATCAGTAATAAAACGCATGTAGAATGTAAATATTTACAGAGTACTTTATACTAATCTTAGTACATTTTTCTCAAGTTATTTTTTATTGAAATATTTTGGCTCATCTGGAAAATAAAAGAAAATACATGTACCATATTCAATGAAAGCAATTTGTAATTAGAATACATGTATCTATAAAATACTGAATTGAATTGAGAGCTTTATATACCATAATTTAGACACTATCTTCAAAATCATCAGAACCTTTGACCTGTAATATTACACAAATATGCATGACTCTTTCATCTAAAAATAGAATATAAAACTTTCAGGGTATTTGAAATAAAAAATAAAAAAGCGTCAACTTTTGGGACAACCTGTATAAGACTAGATCATATATTAAAACGGTCGTTGGCTAAAACCTCGTTCAGCATATATTATATAGTTTTTGGCAATAATATCTATAAACTTACAATAAATGAATGAATTATTCATACAATTTGGCATATATTTCCTATAAACAATAAACCGTTAAAGTGACAAAGTCGTGTGTGGTACCAAATCTTAATTATTCATTATTAATTACGTATAAGCAGTTTTTTGCACGTTATAGCATTATATTGTGTAAATAATTGTACAGTTATTTGTAAAAGCATATTATAGATATTCCTAAATTTAAAAACAAATTCAACATCTTTGAGTTTCAAACCTAAGATTAATACTTAAGTATTTCTTTTCAATGAGACACGGAGACTTTTTGGATGGATTAAATTATCTCCTTGATTTCTGTGTTATTCCATTTCTAAAATTAAATATACGAGCGTATCTAATAATTTTTTAGTAAATGAAACCTATATTACGCATCTTTTTAAAATAATTTAAAATTAAAATTAAAAGATGCATAATTGTTCTAATGTTTCTTTTTTATATACGAAATAAATACTACTGCATCTTTTTATCAATATATTGCTCAAACCAAAAGTGACTGGCCTTTGCCACAAGTACCGAGACAGGCCAGCTTGCACAACCGTGCATCCTAACCATGCTTTATACTGTGAGCTTACCAGCTTTTAAATTTTCATCTTGATATCATAAAACTTGATAATGGACAGTGAAGTTAAAGGAAATAATGAAAGAAAGACACGTTCATATAAAACTTTCAGCATGTTACGGGTTAAAAAACGTAAGAGAAATGTCCTACCTCTTATTCTAGCCTGGATAGGTATTTCTCCCTTGTCACCAGGTTTCTCCCATTTTTGTCGCTCAGATCCTGTCATGATATAAGAAGTAGTATATTGCTGTGTTAATCCAATATAAATGTATGATCTGACAATAAAAGGTACGTGAAATACAACTCTAATTTCCCAAAAGTCCAATTTTAAGCAGTATCTTTCTTCGTAACGTTTGATATAATTCTTGCAGCTTCAGTAAAGGTGTAACATTTTTACTGTCAGTTTCTCTTTAAGAAAATATGGTAAATACATTAAATTTCTTCCATTCACAATTTCTTCATTTTTATTCATTCCATCTTTTATTAAACGTTCGAAGCGAGTTTTTTCCTTCTTTTTAGGAACGTTCTCCTTAAAAGGCTCGCGTGTTAGTCCTGCTTTGTATTTAATTATTCTTGCCTATGTTTTATGTGTTTGTACAGCTGGTTTCTAAGGAACACGATGTGATGCGCCGCTACGAACTTTCACTACTTCTACTAAACGAAATGAATAAATGATGACAACGATAAATGTTTTATAGCGTTTGAATTAGCTTGCATTGATTCACAGTATAGAATTCCATTACCCAAGTTTGTCACGCGCATTTCAGCAAATACCCTATACCCGAACAATAGGGAAATGCCAAGTAAGATTTCAATGCCAAAAAACATTAAACCGCCGAATACATCGTTCAGTAGATACACTGAAGTACTAGCCAAACAAATTGTAAAAAGTTTATCTCGGTATTCTTTAGAAAAGAACGCTAATCAAATATTAAAACTGTAATAATGACATTTTCGAAAACATAAAAATTGTTAAATTTTTCTGAATTAATCTGATTATTAATTTAAAGTTTTGTTTTTCATTTCAATTTGCGATTAATCTGGTATGAAAGTTGTTTAAGGTAAAACATGCGATTAAGATTTAATTATGATTGTATAAAGTTATTAAACCGATATTTTTTTAATAGTACTAATGTATATCACTAACATATCAATGAACTTATAAGGACATTTAGATTTATATTTAAACTTTAAATACGTTAATATGATAAATAATAACGAAAGTAGGAAGTTTGAATATGTAACGGATGGAAAACAACAACAACAACAACAACAAAAATAAACATTATGATTATCTAATGAATAAAGAAATATATTAAAATGATTGTACAATTAAAGTGACATTATATCCGCCCTAGTGTAAATGTTGACAGTACATGTTAAAACTAAAAATAAGTTACATTTTGCCATATTTTGTTTCCAATTTAATATTAATGAATATTCTTTAACACACATGGCGCGCAGATATTTCTATAAATAATGTATCGTATTAAAAGTGTAGGCAATTGTTGTTTTTTTAGACAGTTTTTATATTTTATCCTTAACATTTAAAATGATCAATTATTGGTCGATTAGTATTAAATAAGTTAATCTTTTGAAATCTATATCTAAATCAATTCTACTTTACAATGAAAAAATGGGCATAATGTCACTTTAATGATGATTATAAAAATTATAAGCTATATAAAATAACGATAGAAATAATGATGTTGCTCCTGATACCGATGATGATTTTGAATAATGTTATAATGATGATACTGAGGATCACTATAACGATGTTGATGAAGATGATGATGCTCATAACGACAACAGCAATGATGACGAAGATGATCATAATGACGACAATAAAAATGACGACGAAGATGATGTTAATGATGATGACGACAATGATGATAACAAAATGATGTTTATGACGACAATAAAAATGATGACGAAGATAATGATGCTTATGACGACGAAAATGATGATGACGACCACGATTGATGATGATGATGATGGATTACTACTACTGAAAAAGTTTGACTTTCCTTTTTCCTTCATGTTTCCCTCAAGAATGTATTGACATAGAAGAGTAATTAGAAAATCAACGAAACGGAGTAGAAAATATAATTAAAAATTGGCTTAAATAGTCACATCTTTCCAAAGGCTGGAACTCAGTGAACTCTTAGAGGACAGGAAAACATTATTGATAAGATGTAATTTATTGTTTAAAAAAGCGAAAAGTAAACAGTTAATGCATTGATTTGTAACCCTATCAGGTAAGACAGAATTATTGGCAATCAATAGTAATTTATGAATGGATACAACAACCATGTCGTTTAGATCAAAGCGTGAAAAATAATGCTTATAAAGACGGTAATGTGTTTTAAGATACAAACATATTTTGAAAGAAACATCACCACAATAACAAGAACAACAACGACGACGATAGCTAAATAAGCAAGATATGCAATTTTTTATGACTTATCATGTGAGAAAAAGCAAAATTTAAAAATTACATATTTGAGACATGATAAAAGGACGTGTGGGGTGCCCTTTTTCGTACAACGACTCTTTATATTAAGATAAATGATATAATTCAAGTTTAAAAAACTTGATTTTTATCTAACAACACAATCATTATAACTTTGAGTACTTTAAATCTTTACTGCTTAAACAGGATAAATTCAGCTTAATGTTTTTTCCTCTTCTGCTTTATTGCATTTCCTTACAGTATTTTCATGCGTATGTTATTATTAATCGTGTCTATTTTCACTAGAACGACAATGGTTCCGTGTCTACTTCGATAAGAAGTATACTGAAGAACGATATGTGTACCTTTCTCACGATATAGGTATCGTTCTCACGATATAAGTATGATTCGGTGTTAACTTCAGAGGCTATAAGAGGTAGCTGTTTGATCACAAGTCGAATAATATTAATGATAAGAAGTATATTAAAGAACGATATAAGTATCGTTCTCACGATATAAGTATCGATCTCACGATATAAGTATCGTTAATATAAGTATCGTTCTCACGATATAAGTATGGTTCGGTGTTAACTTGAGAGGCTATAAGAGGAGCGGTTTGATCACAAGTCGAGTAATATCAATGATAAAAAGTATATTTAAAGAACGATATAAATATCTTTCTCACGATATAAGTATCGATCTCACGATAAAGGCTAAGTATCGTTCTCACGATATAAGTATCGTTTTCACAGTATAAGTATCACTTTTAAGGATAGCTCTAGTACGAGTTGGACGCGTTTGAGTGGGGTACCACGACGCGCTCTTTAAATGTAACCGCGCTATCTATAATAAGGTTGACATTATGATCATCGCTACAAATAAACGTGTACACCGTCACAAATGCAAATGAACTATTGTCGAGACAGCTAGACAGTTAAATAAATCAATCACTATGTAAGATGACCGAGAAAGATAAATCTTTATATTTTCTCATATCTAAAATTAGAGAACGCTGCTAGGATCAAGGGAGAGAAATCTAAGCGAATTAAATGTTGTAACCGATTCACGGTGCTTTTTTCTTATTAATACATTTTGACGCATTAAAAATGATACAAAAACGTGTCATTGATAAATATCAAGGGAAGGCAATCGAAAATGTTGATGTCCTATTAAAACCATATTTGCGGTACTTTTAAATACTTAAAATAAATGAATAAATTACAGATGATGTAACATTAATTTATATAATTTGATGTTACATTATAAGTTTATGACATATCAATAATAACTATATTACTTTATATTGTGTTAAAAAGCAGGACAAACAGGAAAGTCTTTAAAGAAGTCTGTTAAGAAACAACAAAGTTGATATGAAAACTGATGGATAATTGATCACATAGTTTTGTAGATGTACGTTTGAAGTAGGAGAACGCATTTTATTTTTGAAATAACACTTGGTTTGTCGATATTTGTATACATGTGTATTTTATAGCGGTTTATCACAGATATTACATCGATCACAAATTGTGTTGAAATCGCGAACGAATACAAACAAGATTTTTTAATGGCTTGTCACACTGATTACGTTCGTGGTAAAATGAATGACGTAACAGGTAGACCTTTTTAATTTTGTTGTTGATATTTAATAGCAGAGCATTATTAACTATAGAACTAGATCCATACACGCAGAATTCAAAAAGTACTACCTAATTGTCATTATTCGCTGTTTAGCCAAATTTATGGTAGAATTTACCTTGAACATAAAAATTAAAAAAATATGCATTTTAGACATGAAATATGCATGTATGCGGGTGTAAAACATATCGAATATGACCTAAAAGGCAAACCAAGCGGTATTGAGCTAGAATACTTGTTGCGTTGTAGATATTTAGAAAAAAAATAATTTAAGTAATTGTTAAAATATTCATACATTGTCGTTTTTTGTACATGCTTCAGACTCTGTCAAAGATCTATGAGTGTTTTACACGTTCTGTGAACTGACTATATAAAAATATTCAAATGGCGTGTTAATAAATCCAGGAAATGTTACATTGAGTTAAAGCTTACCTATGTTATTTCGACAAATGTCTGACAAATGTTAGATATGACTATTTCTTTTAGGCAGTTCGGAAGTAAATCTTCATTCGCTGTTTCTATATACGTAATCCGTATTTGCAAGAATACTGAATTTCGTATTTTAGTTATATACGGACTTGTTATAACAACTCCGTATTTCAGTTAAATATGGACTGCATACTACTAAGTTTCCGTATATAACAAGTGTAGATATCACCGTATATTAGTCATATACGGACTCGCATAATATACGGTTCCGTACATCTCTGTATTTTATGTTTCCCGTATTTCTTCCCGTATATTAATGATATACGGAATTCTGTACACTTCCGTATATCCAGAAATTTTTCGCAGTACTATCAGATGAATTGACTCTAACAAATGCCGCTAAATAATTGCAATTTACGTACGCGTTTTATACTGTAATAAACATATATTTTTATGACAAAAAATAACATACATAAATATATTAAAAAAATAAATCATATATCAAATCATATTTAAATTTTTTTTGTTTATGGCTTAGTATATGACATTTTCTACTGTCACCTGGACTTCTATTTCTTACCACATACGAGTATATAGCAAAATGGCATACATTTACTCGTGCTACGCCCTCGATGTTGACTTCAACGGGTAAACGGATTTAATAAAAATCTAGTAATATATTTGCTGAACAAAAAAGTAAACGATTTAAAAAGAAATCATTTCAATCATACATTTAACGCATCATGCAGTCAAAGCGTGAATTAAGTATTATAGAGAGTTTCGAAAAGTTACAGATTTTTATTGCACGGAAATCGGAAGCTTTGATTCACAAACCATACGGATTCAAACACATTTAGTTGACAGGCTCCTATAATCAAATTTCAGAAAATGTAGTGTGCGTATTTTGATAATATTCATGGCAAAAGCAAGAATGATATTTATGTTCAATATTCACGTGAATATTAGCGAAAAAAACAAAACGTGATAAATACGAAATAAAGAAAGGAAAAAGAAAATTACAATAATTTGATGTAGCAAAAAGATTAAAGATCAACGAGGCAAAGGCAACGTTCACAGGAAGCAGCTACATAAAATGCTAAAAGTTGGGGCTACATAAAATGCAACTAATGTTAGCTTGCTGTTTTTGGTAAAATGGAATCTTTTTATATTTTATTTGTTATGCACTATCATTTAATTATCAAATGAACTGCGTTAAATTAAGTAAATTTAATTTAAAATTATAAGTCACGTTGCAGTGTTTCTTTACTATGATATGAGTTCACACCAAGTCACGATGTAGATATCAGTATTCTATATAGAAACATCACGATAAATATAGATTTCTTCGGTTTACTTATTTGTCATATTTATAACTTCGCAAAAATGTGGATTAAAAAACTTTTCAGTCAAGAAGTAAAGGCTTTTTAATCAGAATAAACTTTGATATTGCAAGTACGTAGCTAATTAGGCGGAAAAAATAGTGATCACTTCTAGAGATAATATAAATGACCGCTCGTTTTAAGAAAGAAGACAACCATTAAATACCCGGTGCACTCACGTTGAACGGGTTGGTAGAACTACTTCTTTTTATTAAGATTTATGTACCGATTGATTTATATATTTGTATATATACTGGTCTATTTATGTGAAGCAATGTGTCAGGTTTTTAATGTCGTAAACTTCTGAATAGGCGAGTAGATAGTTTCAATAAACATGAACACCGTACTTCTACGATAAGGTATGAAAAGCAGATTTTATAAATAAACCTCTGTGCAAATATTTATGAATATCAACAAACCGCTACTGAATGTAGTGAAATAAAGTATTAACTATACTAATTGGAAATATTTGTTAACAAAGTACCCCTTTGAATTCGAAATTCTGATCAAAATTTTTGTCGTGTACGAGGATATACGTACAATGAAATTGTTATTCATGAAATTAAAGACGAAAATTATATATACCATTCGCACGAATGATTATGGAATATTCTTTATCCAGATATGAAAAACCCTATCGTTCATAGATTTAATAGTAAGTTGTTTGTAGTGGTAGAATTATGCTGTGGAAAAATGTTTTGATATAAAAGTTTTAAGACAACTTGGGCGAAAGATGTGTTGTTATTTGAAAGTTATTTTTTCATAAGTATGTCAAAGAATTGTCAGGACGCATGTGCAGTTTTAGAAACTAAAGAAGAATGCATTTCGCGCCAGAAAAGTGAGATTGTCGCTCCGAGGACTGGGAGTGCAGAATGCACGGGGAACATGTTCACACGTGAGGTCACGTTCGATGATTTATTCAGGGAAAAATTTATACCACTTGATTCGAGAAAAAAGGTGGGAAACTATGTAATAGGGCGTGTTATAGGAGAAGGGACTTTCTCTAAAGTAAGGGAAGCTCGGAATATAACCAACAGCGAAAAGGTAATTTTACTCTCTTTGACTCTTTGATTAGTGTTCGACGACTACATGTGTATATAAATGCGTTTAACACAGAGGAAAAAACACACACCCACGAACGTTTACACCACCGGCCTACTGACTTTAAGTTATTTTTTTGTGTGCTTTGAACTTTCAAATAAAAATGAATATGAAAAATATTTTTATATCTCTGCTTAAAGGAATAGGACGCGCACATCGCATTTTTTATCTAAAGACAGTATGCATTCTTTGATATATTTTTGTTTTATCTCTCCGTAAAATTGTTTCATTTTTATGTTATGGAGATAAGATATTTATTATAATATTAATCATGATCAAGCTGGAATGTTTATGGTACTTGTACAATACATTATACAGTGATATATCAAACAATGTACTATATTAGATATAGTAGCATATTTGTGTATCACATGGTCGCTATGTGTCAATATCTACCCCACCTGTCAAGAGGGATATTATTTGTTTACGGCAGTATACACTGTAAAGTTAATTTACTTGATATGACATTCCTGAGTGCACACTTTATAAAAACTCTCAACTCAAAGATAAAATATGCAGTAGTCCACTTCATACAGTATATATTCTTTTTTGTGGCCACTCCAAATCAAATTTAGCATAATAAAGTACTACCTACAAACATAAAAAGAGTCAACTTCTTCTTTTAGTCTATTATTTTAATAAAAAAAAATAAAAAATGTAAAAAAACAACAATTTTTCACCAAAATTAGATGTTAGGGCACGTGTTAACATGGAAAAACTAGTTTTTGGGTAATTCCAAGGTTTTTCATTATTTTTTGTTAAGGTAGAACGCGACACTTTGCGAACTTTCGAGTAGCGTCTTGAAAATTGGCATGCAAAAAGTTGACCATATTTCTGATAAGGTTCCGTTGATTTTATTTCAATAGTTTCAGCCAATTTTTGTACACACGGCGTCAAAGTTGGCCACCGTCGTTGCGTATCCTTGGCAACTGTTACGGGTATTTCAACAAAATATCTTAAATTCTACAGCATTCGACAGAAATTATTTTTTCCTTTAAGCTGATATAAAATTTCTTGTTTTACGCCGAAAAATGTTTGAAAAATGGAAAGAAAATTGTCAATTTTGTGTAAAATTTGACGTTCAGTTTAGCCGCATTTTTCGGCTTTAAAGCGGCTTATTTAAAAATTGTGTATTTAAATTTAATATGATAAAATACTTTTTCCAACACGTACAAAGGGAACTTCTTTTCTTTTGTTTAAACAGGACCGAGGAACTTCATTACCTTTAAAGACTAATCATTCCCCAGAAACGCTTTCATTTTATTTTACTTTTCTCGATAGCCTTTTCTTTTTGTTATCCTCTCATAGTTTACAACTAGCCACTCATTTAGTCAATAACCTGAACCATATTTTATCTCTGTTGCTTTTTGACATCTAGTATTTTCTATGAGAGTCAAAATGCTACTTTGTTTACATTTTGCTTTTTTATGACAAATAATTTCTCATTCGCTACTTTCTTAAGGTGTTAAGGATTAAACTTTATAAAACCCATGTTTGCTCTTCTTAAAGGAAGGAAAAATATTCTATATAAGGCATAATGAACCTTTAATAAATGAATAAAAGAAGTTACAAATTTGTTACATTGAATTAAATATGATAAGGAAATTACGATTTGTTCTGGTAGTGACAAACAATACCCGATAGTATATACTTTAAACATTTCTAGTTGAAACAAGTTATTTTGAAAACCAAATATCTAATTCCGTATGTATCGTCCAGTGATAGAAAATTCATAAATTTATCGCCGATGTCTCATGAACAAACATCATCCATTATTGTATCATGTAAATTAAATCTAAATTCCATCACTACCAGAGTTGTAAAATGTTAACTTATTTATCTAACAGGCATATAACACATAACAAATGACCTCAGATATCATCTCATAAAACATAGTTTAAAAGTATAGTAAATTTTTCTAAAGACCTGCAAACCCGTTTAAATCATACTAGGCTTTAATTCATAGTACAGGTTTTAAATAGCAATATTAAATGTATCACTCCGCGTACCAATATTTGTAAAGTGATGGAACTAGCCTTGTTAAATGTAATATGAGAAGTAAAATATCTTATCATTGTCACTTTAATTGATTACTATGACGTACATAGGTTTTTATACATGTATACATGCGATTGGTTTGCACATTGTAGCTATATATTGACCTCAGTGTAGAATGTATTACATACATCATGGAGAAAAAAAAACGTTTTTAACATATTTATAAAAGATCCATTGCGAAACAAGTTCTTGAAATTTATATTAATCACTTCATTTTCGAGTCCGCTTCCTGGAACAAATCAGTACTTGTGTCATGTGAAGAAAAATGGTCATGACCCGATTAGGGCTCAAACACATGATCCCTGGGTTGAGATACAGACACCTTAACCACTTGGCCACCGCTCCCCTTAAATCAATTAATTTTTATATTCTGTAATTAATTCTTAGTTCATTTTCTTGAATGAATTCCCGGTTCTGATTTGACTGTGTCTTCAAAGAATGGCTTATTTTGTAATCATTCTTAAAATGAGGCAACCAAATATATGCTCTTATTGCCGATTCACTTTCGATTTAATCGGTTTGCTAAACAGACATACGTGCGAGTTTTTATCAAGTTTTGCTTAACAAATATCTGTATCGCAATGTTTATAATGCTTTGTTACCAAAACATTTAAATTATAATAATAATAATAATAATAATAATAATAATAATAATAATAAAAATAATAATAATAATAATAATAATAATAATAATAACAACAACAACAACAACAACGACAACAACAATACTGCTACCAATACCACTACTATTACTACTACTTGTAATAATAATAATGTTGATTTACATCATAAAAATAATTTTTGACAAATATACGGTGTCAAACACATAGACAACTATCTATTATAAGAAAATATTCAAGCTTGATAATGTTGTTTTTCAGAGAGCTGTCAAAGTTTTGCCAAAGAAAACGATCTCAAAGCGACCGGATGTGCGGCGCAGATTCATGCGCGAAGTGAAATCGCTCCGCAAAATTTGTCATAAAAATATAGTTCAAATTCACGAAGTTATGGAAACAGCTGGAAACTATTACATTGTCATGGAGCTACTACGGGGCGACAACCTCAAAGAATACCTTGATAAAAGGTAAGTAACCAAAAAGTTTTACGACCATAGAAACACCACCTATCATCAGATTAATTATTTCTTTAATTTATAAGTGACACTATGCTCATTTTTTCGCTGTCAATTTGAGTTGAATTATAATAATATTTCTAATAATTTGCTATTACAATGGTGAATGACCAATAATTGATTATAAAAAAATGACTTTTATACAATATAAAAACTATCTCGATTATAAAAATACTGCTCAAGTCTATTAAAGAATTTAGCGTTACCGGTGCATTTCGAACGATATTAAAATTTTATAGAAACTCTTATTAACTGCTTCTGGTAAAATATAAAACTGAACACATTTATGGCAAATGTCCAGTATTTTTTTGTTTTACCTGTCCACCGACCATTTAAACTTGGATGGGCATAATATCACTTTAAGTTTCTAATGTACTGAATAATATAACAAGTGATAGTCAACTAAATATGATAACTTGTACTGTTTTACTGTACTGTGAGTTACTGCAAAACATAGTTGTCGTTCTTTGAAGTTCCTCACTGATTAAAGAATCAATATCCAGTTTTATCATCTCAATCAGTTACTACAATTCTACGCTTAATTACACACTGTTTTGGCAGGGTCAAAATCATATTCGCATAAAAAAGACTTGATGAAAAGCCGCATATCTTATTCATAAGTACAAACAATAAGGCATAGTGATCTTGACATTTTGATATATTGTATCTATACCTCATATTCTTACTATATCTTTGGCACTTATAGTCAAAAACAGTCACTGTTGTGCAATGAATAAAAACGTATTTTTCAGTATTTGAACTTTTCAATTGCTCAACAACTGTATTGATACTACTATTCCCACCAATTCAAATGTTCAGTAGAAACATTTCATATAAGAATATACAAATTTGTTTTAGTTTGATTGTGTTGGAAGCAGTATGCTTATTGAAACACTCTCGAATTTGTTCCTAGAACCAACCAGTACTAAGTATTGAATGTAGCGTTTCTTGCTCAAGGAAACAATGGCTTGCCCCTGACAGGTTTTGAACCCACGCGGTCAGCAATCCTAGCTTAGATTACTAGTCGGCAATATGCGTTGTGAGACTAGTTACCATGATTGTGTCAAAGTCATATTTCAATTTTCAAGGAAATCTAGTGTATCTATTTAAAAGAGATCGTCCGTCCGTAAGGTAGCTGTGCAGCTACAATTCAAAGACATTTAAACTATCTGTATTCGAATCTTCCGTTTATTTTTTTTTTAATTTTTAAATCATCCTCTTAGCTAAGCAAAGTTTAATGATCATTCGTAAATCAAGATAATATATCACGTTATAAACAGTACGTTGTCAACTGTAAATTACTTTTTCCTTTCATGTTTTATAAGTGCAAACACTATAATAACAGTACAACGTCACATATATATTTCATATAATCATACATCTAACAATTACGTAACCCTTATCATGCTAAAACCGGAAGTGATAGGCCTGTGCCACATGTGTAGAGCCAGCCCAGTCTGCAGTCCAGTGCAGTCTGCCCGGGCTCTATACTGTTAGCAGCCTAAGCTTAACTTTAATTTTCATCTTCATATCTCTAAAATAATAAGTAACATCATAACTAACAGTCATAAAAATGACAGATAGCAAGTCCCCATTAAAGAAAGCAACTGTCAAGGGTTTATGGCTTGAGTTTCTAAATTTACAGGAAGAGATTGTCGGAGAGCGAAGCGAAATATTTCATGCATCAAACTATAGAAGCTGTGGATTACATGCATTCTCAGGGAATTGTACATAGGTAAGTGGTTTCCCGCCTAATTTTACTTAATTGCTGAAGCTATCAGATTTCAAGTAATTTACCACTGTAAACAGATAGTTGATAGCGAAACTAAGATAAGTTTTAATTACTTGGTCCTTTTTTCTCAAAAGATAATGTGAGAATTATGTTTATTGATATAGAGCATACTAGTATTTTAAGGATTTAAAAAATTTAGGTCTTGAAGGATAAGAACTCCCACTTAAGGTTAGCATAATTAAAAAGCAATTCATTTTGTACCATACAATAATAGAAATGGTTTTCAAACATTCAGACTTATATTCATACAGGAATAATCCGAGCGTGCAGATAAAAGAATTAATTTCAATACATCTACAAGTTTAATGTTAACTTTAACATATTATTTGGCGTTCAAATGTTAAGAAATCATAAAAGTTAATCTTGTGAAAATTGAAAAAAGAAGCACAATAAGTTTTATAAATTGACCTCATATACATATATTAGAAAATACGATCAACAAACTACTTCAGAATTTCATCTTGAATGTATAAATAATCATGGTGACTTATTCATCATAAAATTCTGAACTTTAAAGTTTTTTCTCTTCCTCTCTCTTATTAATCATTGATGAAGTAAGTACAAATGTGACGAGGAAAATTAAAACTCACAATTTTCTAAATACATTTATTTATAAGATACGGAATTGAACGAAGTTGTCCGAATATAAATGAACGTTTAAGCACTGTATTAAGCCTCATTGTGATAGGTTTGTTAAAAAAATATTCTTAGTTTGAAGATTTAATTGTCTCAAGTGATTTTGCTAGACCGAGTTCATACGGAGAGAAGAGAAGCTGAGTGTAATCCGTTCCAGTTAAATCCATGCAAAATTCATTAATTCGTACATGGATGAAATGTTTTAATATCTGAACAAATAAATAAATAAATGAATGAATGAATAAATGAATGAATGAATGAATGAATGAATGAATGAATGAATGAATGATGAATGAATGAATGAATGAATGAATGAATGAATGAATGAAAGAAAAATTGGATAAATTTGTCAGTGATAATTTTGATTAAAAATAAAGTGAGTATGCAACTGAAAGATACGTATAATATGATATATATAACTCTAAATGTTTGGAAGTGAATGAATGAATGAATGAATGAATGAATGAATGAATGAATGAAAGAAAGAAAAAAATGGGTAAATGTGTCAGTGATAGAATAATTTAAAAAAGAAACAAATGAGTATGCAACTGAAATATACGTAACACTGAATATTTGAAAGTGAATGAATGTATGACTGACTGACTGACTGACTGACTGACTGACTGACTGAAATGAATGAATGAATAAACGAATAAATAAAATATCTAAATATGAACTTACGTGCATTTCCGAATGACTTCGATTCCCTTGGCGATGCTTTACTATCAATGATAGGAGGTAACTTCACATTGTCGTTTTCTTTATTTGTATTATCATTTTTTCTTTTAGATGCTTCTCTCTTTGAATGTTGCTTCTTTTCTACAGTTTCGCTCTTCTCCGTTTTCACGGTCTCTCCATCTTTTGTTGTGGACGTTGTAGTTTTTTGAGTTGTAGTTGTCGTTGTCGTCTTTGTCACAGTATGCTCAGTTTCTCGAGTGTTAGATGTATTTTCTTGCCCCACATTATGTTCCCTTGTTTGACCATCTCTGTGTCCTGCTGTTTGACCATTTTCAAATTCCACAGAAAACTTTAAATTTTTTTCTTTAATAGTCTTAGCAAGCTTGTTTTCTCCATCGCGTCTTGGTTTTGGGCTCTCCATTTTAATTGCCTTATCCTAACCTTCAATGATATTCCATCAAGTGCGTTTCTTTACAATCATTCGATTTTATTGAAATCAAATTGTTAAGTCAATTTCCTTAAATCCATTTTTAAAAACCTACGGTGTACTCAATATATGTTTCGCCCATCAATAGAAAATGGAACCTTTTTCACATTCCCTTTATGTGAAAGAGTGTGTCTTGCTCAACCCTACCGTTTCAGTTGTTAATTCGAAAACCTATTTACTTAATGGATAATGCTATGTTTAAATGGTCGCCATGCTTTAAACTATAAAGGCAAATAACAATCTTTTTTATTTAAATACACAATCTCCTGTACAAATACAGAAAAAATAACCATATAACGACCTTCGTATTCAATAGCACGGCTATTTCATATTGTTAAGACATACAACTTGGCTATTTTAGTCAACCGAGTTGGGGAAAATCCAATTTCATACTTGTAAAATATAGACAATAAATAAAACCTGCGTCAGTTTAAGTGGTGTTTCGAAGTCTTTAAGTGAAATAAAAATAAACAGTTTTGTTATCTAAGATAAATGAAAATAATAGTCACGTGATATGCCTAATATTCATGGGTCTAAATAACATAATTGCATTTGAATCTGATCGGTAAATGTTTAAATTAACGAAATATCTGTTATAATACACATAAAAACCATAATTATGTTGACTTCATTCTTTCGTTACGACAGGCGAGAGTCGAATGTACTTTATTTGGAAAACAGCATACTTTAAATAACAATCAGATACATTTTAAAAGACCGAACTGCTTAAACTGTTAAAATAAATTATCATGTGATTTAGCTCCGGTTGCATTAAAGGCATTAAAGGCATTTCTTCAATGCAGCCAAAATATAGATCATGCAAAATTCGAAATGTTTTTTTCTCACTTTTTTATACCCCCAACTCCGATTTCTTTCACTTACTTAACAATGAGATACATGTCACAAAGAAATTACAACTGTACGGAACCGTTACAGTGTTTTAAACTTTGGTGTAATAACTTTGATATTAAGGGTCATGTTTTAACACTTATTAAGACATTTATGTTTTAGCACAGTAAATCATGTTTAAGTGTACTTTATTATATATAAATAACCTTCTCTAGTCTGATAAGGATGGTTATTTGCTTTGACACATTTATCAGTTGTAAAAGTTGTAGAATAGTGCCAATGTTTCATTGTTCTTATATCATTGAAGTTGCCGGAATAAAAACGAATGATACTGTGATGATTTTATGGTGCAGATGGCACAAGCAACAGTAAAAGACACAGCATTTGATGGAATATACGATTGGTTTAAGCGTGAAAAAAGTGATAAATACATGCATTGTGCTGTGGTTGCAATGTGTGCAAATTATTTCAAAGTATGATTTGGACTGTCAAAAAAATCAAAATAAAATAAAATAAAAAAAATCAAAAAAAATCTTTAATGTACCCTTTTTGTTACCTTGGGCTTCTTAGACGCTTTCAGAAAAATGTGTTATTATATCACAATATCACAATAAACATTGATCAGAAATTGGAAAATTAACCATCACAAACAAGTTACTATGACGTCATTTGGAATTTTGAAATATGGTGGCTTTTCTTGGCCAAGCGTTTTTTATGCTTAAATTGGAAATTTCAACTAATATAAAAAAGAAAATGCCTGCTGCAAAATTGTGCAACTTTTGTACAAAAATATATGGTATCATATTCTAACGTGTAGCGTGGCTTTCAAAACTTAAAATTTATACTGGCAGGACAAGTGGCGTAGGCACAACAAACGCCTGAAAACGGCGAAATTATTGAGTCAAGTAAATAAATATGTTTTATATATATGAATTGTAAATGTATTTTATGTCCGCAGGAATAGCTGACATGAAAATATCGATGATTAAACGAGCATTACATTTTCAACACATCTGGCGAAAATGCAAAATAATCCTAACAAGGTCAAATTGATTAAAATTTTTTTACTTAGTGTAATTAAATACTGATTTTTGCTGTTTTAGTTGTCTATGTATTCCGTATGTCAAATCCACTTGATCCCTCCCGCGCACTCTTAAAAGTATTAAATGACACGAATGCTTTATTATTGATAATGATTTACAGATGTCATTCTGTTTGGTGCAATTCGAGTATTCTTTAAATCTTATATGACATAAATCTAGCACATTGCAGTGACATTTCTTATTTTTATTAAAGCAAAAGTCAAGACACAATTTTATTTACAATTCGGCGGTTATCTGCATATGAATATATACATATAGCAAACACACAGTAATAGATATAACAAAAAGCAAACGTTACATTGAATGAATATTATACATAATAAAGCATATACTTATATTGTTTGAATTATTTTAGGTACATCGACAATGTAATACAAATCAAAGCAAAGATCTAAGTTTTTTTTATTATAATTGTTCCTTTCTTCTATCAAATGCATTTCCTAAAATTGCTAAAATGATATAAGTTTTTTTCTTTTCACGTTTGTCTTAACTAGATTTGGATGAATATGGTATGGCAATTGTATTTGATTCTTTAATCTTTATATAGTGAACAACATAAAATAAAATGATACTCATATTCAACAGCTTGCCGAGAACAAAATTTACATAATCTCCGTTTCTTTCTACACCAATATATCTTTAACACATGTTTGATTCAATCCTTACAGGGATCTCAAGCCAGAAAATATCATTTTAAATGGAGATGTGGTAAAGATAATAGGTATGTATGATAATTGTCTGACACGAACAATTCGTTCTACTAAGTAAATCTTAGTAATTCTCAAAAAAAATCGTTCATACGTCTTTACCCTGTGCCTTTTGACACCTAATACAGACGTCCGTAAATATGATATAGACATTTCAATTTATTTGCATATTTTGAAACATAATCTCCTTGTACCAACAGCTACCTACATTTAATAATATTGACTTTATACTGGCCTATTCAAAAGAAGGTTTATAAAATGTTGATTTTAATGATTTTAGATTCTAATTATTCATAAAATCACTTGACTATAAAGTAGAAATATACATACGGTTATAGGTGATATATTGCTGTATTTAAAAGAGATGGAAGTAGTTTATAACAGCAATATCAATAACCAACTCTTTGAGACTTAACTTCTGAGTTAATTCGGTGTTTGGCGTATAAATATAAAGGTCAAGATTCTTTTCAGTGCTTTTAATGCTTTCAATCTTTGCTTCTTTTATTAAATGCTTAAAATGTTTAAATGATTGTTTTTAATTTGTTCGCAAATGGTGTTCCTAAACACCAACTCAACTATCTGATTAAAGCTTTTCGAAGGTGGCATTCTGTTCCAACTACGTATTTATAAATCTACACTCGTTAACATAATCTGGCCAAGATTTCCAATTAATCTTGATAGCCAGCTGCTTCTCTTGACTGTATCGACAAACCTCCAAAAGATTTCTTGTCAGATTTAATATGTCATGTATTATTAACAAAATGATGATTGCATTCCCTTATTTTGTCATGATGAAGAAATCACAAGAACATTTAATCTGACAAGGAAAGAACCAACTCGGATGCACCGCACCCATTGAACTTTTATTTGGGAGCGATGTCATAAATCAACTTTTCATGTAACATAGCCTACAAATGTTTTAAACATTTTTCCAACTACCATTTTGTAGAAAATAAAAATAAAGAATAAATACAGATCACTTCAGTGTTTTGTTCGGACTATGTGCGCAATGATTGTCCATCTTATTATTACAGATTTTGGATTGTGTGCGTGTATAAATCAAGATGAGACCATGTCAACCCAATGTGGTTCACCAGCTTATGCTGCCCCAGAAATATTCAACAAAGAGCCTTACACAAAACAAGTAGACGTCTGGAGCATGTGAGTACATAACACTTTACACGGTTCATCAAATCTGTAGTCAACATTTCAAACCAGCAGCTGTCCATGGTGTTGCTGATTGTTTTGCAGACAAACTTATAAAATGTAGAAATATTAGCAATTCGGATAATGTGCCATTTGTAAGCGTGTAAGTAACCTTACAGACCACTAATGTGCCATCGGTTGCACTTATAAGCATGTGTAGCAACCTAATAAACCAGTTTAAAACGGTTCCTGACGTATTTGTCTCGGTAAAGGGGATTTTAGATGTTTCAAACGTTGATATCTTCCATGCCAAACATGACCATATGAATGAAACTAAATTTCTAGGCTATATTGAAGTTGAATATGAAATGGCTAAGATAATGATCATGTAGGACTAATTGAGACATAATTACGTCTATATTTAAAAATATATATAATTGTCGAACCTATCTTATTTCTAATTGTATGTGATTATGGGCACCTAGACATTGTCTGTTATTTAGGTTACAGAAAGCAAAATAAACTGTCTGTTTTGCTTTTGGGTGATGAGTGTATGTCTAGGACTCGAATATTGACCCTTAATATGTATTTATTCCTATAAAAGTGTAAGACGTTATCCCTCATAAAAACTGTAAGTTATTTAAAAGGTTATGCAGAACAAGAATTCAAAGTTTTCCTTTTGATACGAAACAAGGAAAACGATATAAAAATAAATAAGGCGTTACTAGCTTTTGTATAATGTTCTACAATATTAGCAGACATCTTTATTTGTATTGTTTAACTTTCAACATTTCAGAGGGATAATTTTATTTCTAGTTGTGACAGGGTGTATGCCTTTCAGCGTGGCAGGTAAATCATCAGCTCAAGTATATGCTACAGTTTTAAAAGGATATGAATTGCCAAAAAGTTTACAACTGTCAATAGGTTAGTTCCATACATTTATCTGAACATCCCAACCGCTGGAAAAAAATCATGAAGTTATCACCACTTTTCTTCTTTCATGCTTTGTAGTACGACATGATTTAGGTTCAGTCAGTTGTTAAGATCCCTACAGGAGCATTTTATTCAGATAGTGTAATAATCGAATTATCGTTTACTTCAAAACAAATTATTTTAATTATATAATGTTTTAAACCAGAAGATGAACAGGTGTTTGGTTTAGATACCTTGATAGATTATGCATTGAAACCTGAATAATTCCAATATTACAGTCACGTTTGTTGTTAAATGCTTAATTGTACCCATGATAAAATCAGTTAAACGAAATTGCAGTTATGACGTGGAATATATTTCTTTTGAAGTATATTATTGTGATTATGCCAAATCATTATCACATGCACAAGAAACCCATACCATTTCTATCCTTAGTGTAATACATTTTCATATAACATGTATCCTATCTCTTTTAGATTGTGAAGACTTGATCTCAAAGATGTTAGTGATAAATGCAGACGATCGTATCTCTACCAGCGACATTTTACGTCATAAATGGTTCCATAAAAAACCAAAGGAAGCTAGATGACGGTGTCAGCATGAATTTAACATTTCATTATATTCACACTACAGCATAAATCATGATCTACGCATTTTAAACATGACGCTATCATATTAAATTAAGAATTTTCAAGCAGCATTAATATATCATGGTATATGTCACATGTTAAAAGAAATACTGTTATAGAAAAGTTGAATTTCAAGAATTACTGTGCTTATGTTCATATGATAAAACAAATGTTTTAGATATAAATTGAGTGGTAATTTTTTAACTTTTATAATTATTATATAAATAAATAACTTCAAGCGGCCGCTAAAGGCAATTGAAAGTAACTAATAAGTGCATAAGCTTAACACATCTGAGCATAGTCGTTAAAAAGATTATTTAGTGAGAATAAACTTAATCATTCATTAGAAGTCATAATGTATTAATCTTAAAAAGAAGACAGTGTTTCAATAACATACCCGAACGAAAAATATGTGCAGCAAAATAATGTAATAATAATAATAATAATAATAATGATAATAATAATAAAAGAATAATAATCATTACTGCCATTATTATACATAGAAGTAGATACTTAGCTATACAGTATATTTTTTGAAACACTGATCGTTTAATATACATGTATATCGACGCGTATTGGAAGTTTTATCCGGTGCAAAAAATACTATTTACTAATATGTATAAAATATTGTCATTTACATATTGGTATTGTAATAAAAAACTGTTTATGTTCTACAAACAAGCTAAGAGTTATTCATGTATTTCACCTTAATATCAATTTTCTTATAATTTCATAAGTCGGACATATTTGCCAATTTCATGTTTGAAGTTATTACAAATGCTTGCACATTTCAAATACAAAAACTGGAGAAAACTAGTTTAAGTCTGTTTCAACTGCTTAACTATTTATTGAATTGAAATTGACCGGCGGTCTGATTATTGTACTGACGAATGTGTCAAAGAAAGCCTGAAGCCCTGTAAAGCAATTTTATCAGGTACATAATACATGATTGTATACAAAATAAAAATTCTTGTCATCAGTCGGAATAAAAATGCATTTCTTAATCATGTTAACTATAAAGTTACTAAAGATTGTCCAGTAAAAACTCGGCCGCTTACCAACTGTTATCGTTTTTAAGGGTGATAATCGTGTCTCAAGCATGTTATACATTTAGGTTTGGTTGCCTCCCTTTTAGCCAATTTAACGCACTGTCACATCAAGCGAATCCGATTCTCGATGTCGCGGACAATAATGTAGATAAGTAGATTGCGATGATTTCACACGATATATTTTTGTTTTGTTAATTTATACCTAGACTTATCTTAAAAAAGACATCAGCAGTCAATTTGAATGCCATTGTAAATATAGTTTAAAAATATTAAAAATATGAGAACTGTGTAGCACAGAACAAAGTAATAAAAAAGAATTACACACCGTTACAACTGAATTGAATTGTCTGTATAAGGTGTATGGCCGGACAACTGCCCCCTTTCTGCATAACATATGAGCTGTGTCACGACAAAACCAACATAATGGGTTTGCGACCAGCATGGATCCAGACCAGCCTGCACATCCGCGCAGTCTGATCAGGATCCATGCTGTTCGCTATCGATTTCTCTACTTGTTATAGGGTTTGTAAGCGAACAGCATTGATCCTGATCAGACTGCGCGGACGCGTAGGCTGGTCTGGATCCATGCTGGTCGCAAACCCATTATGTTGGGTTTGTCGTGACACGGCTCAAATATGAAATATTCAGACATAAATAAGAGAGCGCTTATTGAAATTTCACAGTAAATTTGTGAAAGACGTCTGCATTATATAGACTTAAATAGCAATAAATAATCTGCAACTACGTGTACTTACATATAACAAAATTACGATGTCTCGTTTTGTCAAATGTCACCACAATATTATCGAAGAGAAGATCTCAATTTCAAACTGTGACGAAAAAACAGACATTTGCATTGCCAATTTGGAACATAATGGCCATAAGGGCCAATTCTGCACTTTTTTTCCAATTTAGTGCCTCCTCGTAATGACTTAAAGTGAAGTTCTCAAAACAATTAATATTCAAGTAGGAATACTGAATAATCACCCTTAAGATATGTTGTCTGCTTTTTAAATTTGTCTTTTGACGTCTTATCTGTGATATGCAGGCTTCATAACCTCAGATCCCCTTTCAAAATTCCATTTTATTAAGTTCCGCCCATTGTTTTCTCGTTTAGGGCACACGCATTCTTTTTCTTGGGGACCATACGCCGCTTTTCATGGAATGACACTACTGTGTCACATTGAAGGTTCCATGATAACCGCCGTATGAATACATCTGTGGATGTTTCTTAATTCAAAATTTCACGATTTTAGTGTTTAAATGGTGAATTCTGCTTAAGCCGGTGATAGGGGGCGTGGACGGTAAATTGCAATTTCCATTATCGTCCATGAACAGGCTCAATCAAACCGAGGCTTGTATATTGGAATTTACACCTCGTATAATCGAACCGTATGCGCTTCGCCACAGCACATGTTGTTTACAACGTTGGGTACCCAACGGGGAAATTTAGTGTGTATATTACCCGTCTGACTCGGTCTCTTTCGGCAGATAAATATCCAATCAAAAAGGGGCTAGAAAATCTGGAAGGGTAATAAAAATATATATTGTTTATTTTAATTGTTAAATGACACTCATGTAATGTTTTTAAAGTTCTTATTTATTGTAGCAAGTAATGTAATCTGAACATTACAAAACGTTAATTTGTACGATGAGAACTAAACTTATGTCGGTAACCAATTAAATCATTTTGATAATGTATACGCAATTCCGTTATTCTGAAGAAAAGGTTTTGCCTGTGCATTTTCCGAAAAAGACTTTAGCAGGGAGAACAAACATGCTTATTCTCTGATTGATTTATTTGTGTGTGTTTGTGTGTATATGTATATTACAATACAATAAAGACAATTTATCACAGATATATCTATCACATTGTTTTTAACAAAGTAATTAATTGAAGAAAAAAACAACAACTTTGCATTTATAATTTAATCAAAGATCTAGTTGACTTCAAGACAATATATACAACACAGGATAACCCATGAAAGTTCAATATAAAATAGAGAACTTATTTCCAATGGGGTCCTTTGATGGAAACAAATATATTTTCTTGAGAACTGGCATTCAGGTCCATACTTAGAGATGATATACTGGACTGATGTTATATTTCTAAGATCAAATAATATTAATTTGTATCACACATTATGTTAATTACATATATCACATATTACAGGAATAATACTATGAATATGACTAGTTATCACACCAATGAAAGATATCTTTTTATATATATCACAAAACCAATCACAAGATACATTTATATAAAACATATTATATTGATTAAAACAATTATCTTTAAAATTAATAAAAAATAAAATCATCTTGTTCAAATTGTTTCATATTTGCACTTAGTTCTGCTTTTACTTTCTTGTTAAAGTTAAAAAAGTAATTTCCTTTTTAATATCAAGTGGGAGCATGTTCCAATCCCTAACACCTTTGTAAAAAATATATTTTTTGTAAAACTATTAACATGGGGTATATGAAAGTTCCCTACACTGTTTCTACTATTATAACAATGATCATCAGACTTTATAAGATTGACAATTTTTATCAAATATTAGAACAATGTGGCTGAGAGATCATTATCCAGATTGAACCGAGATACTTTACTGATGGCTGAGATTGTATGGTGTGATTATTTCAGTGTTTTTTATACTGCTCAAGGTTTGACAATTTCCTCTTGTATCATAGTTTGGGAACCTTTCTGTTGAAAAAGTGCTGAGTTAAATCGTATACATATACAGGCACAGTGCGGTAACTGGAGTGCAGCACTCAAGATCATGCCCGTTGATTGGCTCATTTTTGCTGGGGTTCAAATCTTGTTCAAATTCAAATCATCTTGTTCAAATTTTTTCATATTTGCACTTAGTTCTGCTTTTACTTTCTTGTTAAAGTTAAAAAAGTAATTTCCTTTTTAATATCAAGTGGGAGCATGTTCCAATCCCTAACACCTTTGTAAAAAATATATTATTCAAGATGATTTGCGTTCATTGAACGCCGCCTTTCCTTGTTGATCTTGTTTATCATATTTTACATATTGTGACGGCAGAGAAAGGGAAAGCGGCAGAAATATCATATTTAGATGCTCGATCATTGGTTACTTTTTCCCGGGGTTTAAAATTGTGACAACAGGGAACGTGTTTTTATGTTTGACTATGATACAAAAGAGAAAGAACACCAAAACACTCGGCAATCTGATTTATACTCGGGGGCTACGCCCCCCTCGTACAAATCAGATAGCCTCGTGTTTCGGTGCTCTTTCTATTACATAGAACTTAAAACAATACGTTCTGTTTTACCAAGATGTAATGATAGCTTATTATACCGTACTTCACTTCAGTGTTGTTATATTTTTCTGGTCCTTCGGGTTCATTGATGCCAGCACTATTAAGTGTTGAGAATTGAGTACCGCTCAAGCCGGTGCTAGGGGCGTGAGGGACGTTGCAGATTTTTATTATCACTCATGTACAGATTCAATCAAACCGAGTCTGCAATTTTCTTGTAATTTTTGTTGTGATTAATGCTTACGAGGGATCACTTTCTTTCCAGATTTTTATACTTCACAACAGCAGGTGTCAAGTGCTTTGTGGTAGCTCTAAAAAGTTGCCCCGTACTTCACTTCAGTGAGGGATGTTGCACTTATTCATTATCCCTCATGTACAGTCTCAATCAAACCGAGTCTGCAATTCTTATGTAATTTTGTTGTGATTAATGCTTCCGAGGGATCACTTTGTTTCCAGATTGTTATATTTTTCTGTTCCTTCGGGATCATTGATGCCAGCACTATTTAGTGTTGAGAATTGCGTACCGCTCAAGCCGGTGCTAGGGGCGTGAGGGATGCTGCACATTTTCATTATCCCTCATGTACAGACTCAATCAAACCGAGTCTGCAATTCTCTTGTAATTTTGTTGTGAATAATGCTTCCGAGGGATCACTTTCTTTCCAGATTATTATCAACAAGCCATTTACTACAATTTTCTAGTTCCTTACCCAAAACATTACAAATAACATCTGAATCTTTATGTGAGTAAAAAATTTCACTATCATCTGCATAAAGAATAAGCTTACATTTTTGCTAATACTAATACTCATATCATTGACATAACATATAAACAATAGAGGACCTAATATACTTCCTTGAGGAACACCACATGTAATATTCATAGCTTCAGACATGGTATTATTTACATTTACAATTTGACTACGACCAACTAAATAAGATTGAAACCATTTTACTGACTCCACACCCATATTTTGTAACTTTCTACACAAGATGTCATGGTCCACAGTGTCAAACACCTTTTGCAAATCTAACATAATCATACCGGTGAGCAGTCCTTTAGAAATTTGACCTTTTACATGGTCAGTGAGATGGATTAGGCAGGAGTCAGTAGAATATTTACATCTAAAACCACTCTGTAATTATACCCCCGCACAACAAAGTTGTAAGGGGGGTATACTGGAATCAGGTTGTCCGTCCGTCCGTCCGTCCGGCCGTCGGTTTTTTCTTGTCCGCCCAATAACTTAAGATTCCTTTGACCTTTAGTCTTCAAATTTGGCATGGAGGTTAGTCATGATTAGTAGATGACCCCTATTGATTTTGAGGTCACCAGGTCAAAGGTCAAGGTCACAGGGGCCTTGACTTCAAAAAGCTTGTCCGCCCAATAACTTAAAATTCCTTTGACCTACAGTCTTCATATTTGGCATGGAGGTTAGTCATGATTAGTAGATGACCCCTATTGATTTTGAGGTCACCAGGTCAAAGGTCAAGGTCACAGGGGCCTTGACTTCAAAAAGCTTGTCCGCCCTATAACTTAAGATTCCTTTGACCTACAGTCTTCATATTTGGCATGGAGGTTAGTCATGATTTGGTGCACCATTAACCGGTTTAAACTCCCCAGCAGTCATTATTATGCTGCTGACCGTTCCAAGGCGGCGCCCCACTGTGTTCCTCAGATGTATGTCTATGTTGTTTCATACTGTTTTGGTGACACTTTTGCTTGTGTCCCTTGTTGTTTTCTCGTCTACGGTAAGTATCTTCCCCATTGCCTCTAGTTTTTATTTCTTTGATTACTCCCCCCTTCCCCCCGGTCTCCTGTCCCCTTCCCCTTTGTGGGCCTATTTTTATTTTCTTTGAATTCCTAATCAGTTACAATTTAATTATCATTTAATGATTAACCTGTCCGTGCTCTGTCTTTGTCCTGTCCTGTTTTTGTTTGGGGTCCCCCTGGGCTTCTTGCCATTGGTTCTTGTTGCTGGGTCATATGGGGGTTGCGTTCTATGAACGCCGCCTTTCCTTGTTGATCTTGTTTATCATATTCTTTAAAACTAGTTCTGCATCCTTAAGAAATTTTGCTGGATTTTCATCTAATCCTGTGCATTTACAACAATTTAATCTGCAAAGCTCTTTATATATATATTCTTCACTATCAGTATGTTAT